TATTCATTTCGGCACTCAATGAAGCTGAAATGCCATCATAAAATAATGAAGGAAATGAATCATTTACTAATTATAATATATTAAATATGGAGATTCGAACGCTTTATCGTTTATCTTCAGAATTACAGTTTGACTAATGATAATGATCGTACAATGCAAATATTGTGTAAGAAATTCGATAATAAGCAAGTACATGAAGAATTCAATTACAATCTTTAAAATTTCCTTTCCATTGATTTCAACCTTCGTCATTGATGTATCCAGTAGCCCTATAGTAATTGTACGATGTCAATATTGTGGAAGAAGTTGGACAATAAGCGAGTACGTCGAGAATTTAGTTATAATGTTAAAAGATTCCTTGATATCGATTTCAACATTTGCAATGATTAGCATAATTAGTGTATCCAGTCGTTAAAAATTCCTATTAATTTCAACGTTAGCAATCAATAGATCCGACAACTATCATCGAATATGATTATGGTGGAGGAAGTTTGACAATATGCGAGTACGTCAAGAATTCAATTGCGGTTTTAAAACTTTGCTTTTTATTGATTTCAACGTTCGTACTCGTAACTAATGTATCTAGTAACTATATCGCTGTCACACACCACTAATGACAAAGTAGTCTACACACGCCAATCCTTGCGGAGAACGCCACTTACTAACTTAAAGAGGCGAGATTAGCTATATCACCAAATAATTCAGTTCCAACGACCGAATACTATGGTATAACTATAGCGTCACAGATGATGTAGACGAGATAGTCAGAGATTTACTATCATTTATTACTGAAGGAATCTTGGCACCCAAGATTATAGTCTTTACAATTAAATATCAATTGAAAAACTAGTTGACTATCTAACCGACTAACGAACTAAAAAGGAATCTTCATAATTAGGACGAGCTTACGCATCGTAACAATCGCATAATGTAAATATTGTGGAGGAAATTGGACAAGTACGTAGGAATTCAATTGCAGTCTTTAAAATTTCCTTTCCATTGATTTCAATGTTCGCCATTAAAATTTTGCTTTTATTGAATTCAACGTTCGTACTCGTAACTAATGTATCTAGTCACTATATCGCATAGTGTAAATATTATGGAGGAAATTGGACAAAGTACGTAGAAATTTAATTGCAGTCTTTAAAATTTCCTTTCCGTTGATTTCAATGTTCGCCATTAATGTATCTAGCAGCTTTGTAGTAATTGCACGATGCGAATATTGTGGAAGAAATTGGACAATAAGCGAGTACGTCGAGAATTCAATTGCGGTCTTTAAAATTTGCTTTTTATTGATTTCAACGTTTCTACTCGTAACTAATGTATCTAGTAACTATATTGCATAATGTAAATATTATAGAGGAAATTGGACAAAGTACGTAGGAATTCCATTGCAGTCTCTAAAATTTTCTTTCTATTGATTTTAACGTTCGCCATTAATGTATCTAGCAGCTTTATAGTAATTACACGATGAGAATACTGTGGAAAAAATTGGACACTAAGTGAGTAGATTAAGAATTTAGTTACCATCTTTAAAATTTGTTTTCTATTGATTTTAACGTTCGTAATTACGTGTATAACTGATTTATCTAGCTTTTAAAACTTCCTATTGATTTTAACTTTAGTAATCAGTATATTCGATGACTATGATTGCAAGGGATTATTATGGAAGAAATTGGAAAAAAGTGAATACGTCGAGAATTCAATTGCTGTCTTTAAAATTTTCTTTTTTATTAATTTCAAAGTTTGTACTTTTAACTAATTTATCCAGTAACTATTTAGTAATTGTACGATGTAAATATTGTAGAAGAAATTGGACAATAAGCGAGTACTTAGGAATTCAATTGCAGTCTTTAAAGTTTCCGTTTTATTAATTTCAACGTTGGTAGTTAATGTACGGAGCAACTATTTAGTAATCGTACGATGTGAATATTGCTCAGGAAATTGCTCAAAGTACGTAGGAATTTAGTTGCAGTCTTTGAAATTTTCTTTCTATTGCTTTCAACGTTCGCCATTAATGTGTCTAGCGACTGTATAGTAGCTGCACGATATAAATATTGTGCAGGAAATTGGACAATAAGCGAGTAGGTCGACAATTTAGTTGTCATCTTCAAAATTTGCTTTCTATTGATTTCAGCGTTTGTAATTACGCGTATAATTGGTGTATCTAGCCTTAAAATATTCCTATTGATTTCAACGTTAGTAATCAATGTATTTGATGTCTATAATCGCATGTGATTATTGTGGAGGAAATTGTACAATAAGCGAGTACGTCGAAAATTTGAATGCGATCTTCAAAATTTGCTTTTTAATGTATCTAGTAACTATATAGCAATCGATCGCACGATGTAAATATTGTGGAGGAAATTGGACAATAAACGAGTACGTAGGAATTTAATTCCAGTCTCCAAAAATTTCGATTGATTTCAATATTAGTAATTTATCGGATGACTATGATTGCACGATATGATTATTGTAAAAGAAGTTTGACAATACGCGTCAGTGAGTACGTTAACAATTCAGATGCAGTTTTCAAAATTTTTTATTATTGATTTCAATGCTAGTCATTAATTAGTTAATTAAAGGTATCCAATGATTAACTAATGTGTCTGATAACTCCATAGTGATCGCACGATATGAATATCGTGGAGGAGTTTCGATAGTAAGCAAGTAGAGAATTTAATTGTATCCTTTAAAATTTTCTATTTTAACGTTGTTAACTAATGTACCTAATGACTCCATCGCGATCGCATGATGTGAATATTGTGGAGGAGTTTCGTTAGTAAGCAAGTAGAGAATTTAATTGCAGTCTTTAAAATTTCTACTTTAACGTTATTAACTAATGTATTTACTGACTCCATAGTGATCACACGATATGAATATTATGGAGGAGTTTCGATAGTAAGCAAGTAATGCATTTAATTGCTGTCTTTAAAATTTTCTATTTTAACGTTGTTAACTAACGTATCTAATGACTGTATAGCGATCGCACGATGAATATTATAGAGGAGTTTCGATAGTAAGCAAGTAGAGAATTCAATTGCAGCCTTCAAAATTTCTATTTTAACGTTGTTAACTAATGCATCTGATGACTCCATCGCGATTGAACGATATGAATATTATGGAGGAGTTTCGATAGTAAGCAAGTAGAGAATTTAATTGCAGCCCTTAAAAATTTCTATTTTAACGTTATTAACTGACGTATCTAACCTTATTAACTAATGCATCTGATGGCTGCAATTGCAGATGTGAATATTGTAGAGGAGTTTCGATAGTAAGCAAGTAGAGAATTTAATTGCAGCCTTTAAAAATTTCTATTTTAACGTTATTAACTGACGTATCTAACCTTATTAACTAATGCATCTGATGGCTGCAATTGCAGATGTGAATATTGTAGAGGAGTTTCGATATTAAGCAAGTAGAGAATTTAATTGCAGCCTTCAAAATTTCTATTTCAACGTTGGTAACTAATGTATCTGATGACTCTATAGCGATCGCACGATATGAATATTGTGGAGAAGATTCGATAGCAAGCGAGTACAGCGAGAATTCAGTTACAATTTTCAAAATTTATGATTTTAAAGTTTGTCACTAACAGGGACATTTTATGATCTTTTTGTTATTATTTTTCGCGTAGGTCCAGGTCTTCTCCATCTAGGGACAATTGGTAACTAATGCATCTGATGACTCTATAGCGATCGCACGATATGAATATTGTGGGAAGATTCGATAGTAAGCGAGTACGGCAAGAATTCCGTTGCAATTTTCAAAATTTTTGATTTTAAAGTTCGTCACTAACAGGGACAACTGGTAACTAATGTATCTGATGACTCTTTAGCGATCGCACGATATGAATATTATGGAGGAGATTCGATAGTAAGCGAGTATGGCGAGAATTCAATTGCAAACTTGCCGTGCGATCGAAAATTCGATTGATTTCAACATTGTTAGCTAGTACTCACTGTAGAGTTCAATGTACGTATATATTGTTATATATATAGAGAGAGTATAGAGTTCAATACTACGTATAAGTACAGTATAGAATATAGAGTTAAGTATACGTATAATTATACGTATAGCTGTATGTGATGGAGGAGATTCGATAGTAAGCGAGTATGGCGAGAATTCAATTGCAAACTTGCCGTGCGATCGAAAATTGGATTGATTTCAACATTGTTAGCGAGTATTTACTGTAGAGTTCAATATACGTATATATTGTTATATATATAGAGAGAGAGAGTATAGAGTTCAATCTACGTATAAGTACAGTATAGAATATAGAGTTAAGTATACGTATAAGTATACTTATACTTATACGCATAGCTGTATGTGATGGAGGAGATTCGATAGTAAGCGAGTATGGCGAGAATTTAATTGCAAACTTGCCATCCGATCGAAAATTGGATTGATTTCAACATTGTTAGCTAGTACTTACTGTAGATTTCAATAAGCGTATAGAGAGAGAGAGAGAGAAAGTAGAGAGTTCAATCTATGTATAAGTACAATATAGAGTATAGAGTTAAGTATACGTATACTTATACGTATAGCTGGCCTGTCGCCGATCTCTTCACCTGAGTATTCTCACTAAGGCTGATACTGTACCCTATAACGCGCTGACATGGAACAGTACCATAACTGCCTACTGTATCTAAAGCGAAGTGACGTCACTGCTAATTCCTTAGCTAAATCTAGCTTGCACACACCCTACTAGGGTACAGTACTACTACGCATGCCTGAATGATACATTGTATAGTATTGAAGTAGACTGATTTGGCGGCCAAACTCAAATGAGCAACCGTTGGAATCGATTGGCAGCAGGTTTTGAGGGCAAGCTTGTGGAAAAAGAGCAAAAATTCACTTTTTAAAATGGAATTGACACTATTTTCATGATTGAACACTATTGCAAGGCTACCATAGTCATTGTAGATGAAGAATTAGCCCAGGAAATCAGTCCATTTTAGCTGGATTATTGCGTAGACACCGATCACTGGCTAGTAAATATGAAAGTAGTCGCCGATGTCGAAGTGGTCAGTCGTGATGTTGCTCTTCGTGGAATTAGTTATAAGAGTCGTTCAAGTCGATCGGTATTAACGATAGGCAATAAAACCAAGCCATTATCGATTCATATAAAACAGGATCAATGCAAAGAGAAAGGTGATTTGTTATTACTTGTTTGTACGAGATCCAATCCATCAGGGAGGCAGTACAAGGTAAGACATCAACAGGATAAATGTTGTAGGGATTCAATGAATTTGGCTTGACAACTCTGCTTGTACATGGATTATATGCTAGTGCCTCTTGCACTGATTGACTTCAATGATTATACTCTACAAGTCTTATCATCGTGGTCAAGCTGTTAAAGCTTCATAACGAGTTGCTGTCTTACCATAGATTGATGAGTGTACTGAAGCTAGCAAAGCTATATGCATAGGACTACTTGCTGTCTTTCCGTAGTGCATTATAATTTCTGTTATTTACATGATAGTATTGAAGATGGTAAAGCGACATCAGTGTTAGAGCTGTAAGGCTGTATACATACAGTAATTAGTTAATGTGGATCGATTTGATTCTTGTCAATATGGAGTGCTGTCATATGCAAAGTTAGCCCTCAAAATACAACAGATAACTTACAGAGGTAAAAGAAAAAAGTGTTTTCTATTGCCTATGTGAGGTAACTAATCTTTCAACATGTCTACATCTGCTAGTAACCCTATGATGCTGCTTACAGATTGTGTGATTCATTGACTACATTAACTTTGCGTTCTACTTGCTATGCAATAACGATATATATATATATACACGTATACGAGTGTAAGCTCCTATTTGCTTCTTTCCCTAGCTCAAGGGTAATGTTGAACAATTATTTGGTAAATTCATCCATGATGGTAAAGGGACTATCCGCTTGAAAAGTCCTCCTGTCGACTTGTGTTTAAGTAAGGTATGACTTTAGAAGGATTAAATGAACACGAGAGTGACCATGACAGATATTGATTTGTAATCGTCATTTTCAGAGTATGCATTGATTATAATTAATTAAATCATCGATAGTTTATGCTACATAGCGGTATACGAATTTACAAAGTTGAAATAGGATTGACAGTCAATGTATTATAACTGAGCAATCTTTATGCCACAACTTTATCCATTTCTAATGCTACCTTACCGTATACTATTCTCTTTGAATTGATTACAGGCAAATCCGGTGGAATTAAAGAAATTTCTATGTGCTATACGCCTTTGTCACCAAGATCGCGACACGGATAAACTAGAATTAAGCCTTCTAAGACCTGCTAAAACTCAAGAATTAGAAAAACCGCAAACTAGCATGGCAATTTTGTCTTCTCAAGAATATCCAGTGAAGCGTCCATTTCCATCGTCTTTAGAGAAATTAATTATCAATGATTGTGGCCTTAAAAAATTAGAAGACAGGATAATACGTTTAGAATGCTTAAAAGTGTTGGATCTTAGGAATAATTGTTTGAAATCCTTGCCGGATGCCTTTGAAGGCTTTCAAAATTTAGCAGAACTTATATTGGCCAATAATTACTTGACCCAAGTTCCAAAAAGCTTGGGATGCGATAAATTAGCCAAATCATTAAAATTATTAGACCTAACTTGCAATGGATTTACCGTCTTTCCAATGTTAATATGCAATTTGACATCTTTGAGTACTCTAAAAATCGCCCAAAATCGTATGACTAAATTCCCTAGCGGTATTTCTAAACTTGCCAATTTAAAGCAACTATTGGCCAGTGATAATCAACTTGCTGTGCTACCGCATGGCTTCACAAAATTATCCCTAAGTCATATTGATTTGTCTGACAATCCGCTATCCATTGAGGTTTTACCGCTTGTTAAAAAATATAATATGCCTGTGCCTAACTTGTCTGAATTGGCATTGAGGGAAGTATGGAAAAGGTAAGTCACAGTCATTTCTGCATCATTCTCAGATTAAATGCAGTTTATATAGGTGTATTAATTGGATCGAATTTTTTGAAATAGTAATTTGACAAAGTTGTTGCCCTGGCAATCATTAAACAGACTGCAGGAAAGGAAAACATGTCAGTGGTGTCATGGATCATGCTTTCTTGCTAGGATCGATGTTACAACGTCAATGGATTTGCATCTTATCGCACATACTGTAACGGCTGTTGATCAAACAAATCGTATGGTTGTGCCATATTTAATAAGCTTATGTTCTGAAAGATGTTATCATCGTTGGAGTATTAGAAATTATCGACAGATGAATGTATGAAATACATCCACAAGTATCTACGAATGCTGAACTTTACTAGGCTATTACTGAGGTTGATTCTATTACGCGTATGGTCAACATTCGTATTCGTGTTCATTGATCATCTGCCTATAATAAAGAATCTTTTTGGTAGATTTCAATGCATTGATTTACAATCACTGTACATATTGTTATATATTTCATTATATAATTCAAGCTATTTATATGATTTCTACATACCGTACGATATTACTAGATATAGTCATTCCTGCCTTCGCCACAAAATACTCTTGTGTAGATAAAATAGCATCTTACATGCTTTTTTCATAATACTTTCTGCTCATTTGAACAAATTCTTATCTGATACTTGCTATGAATGAACTTTTAAATATTGCTTTGATTGTTACCACTCAATGGTAGCTGCTGCTCCCCGCGCATAGTATGTAAAATAAACGTAAGCTAGCAATGTAAATCATGGGCATCAATTTTGAAAAGAGAGTACCAAAGTTTGTCCCATTTTGAAGGTGTAGATGGAAAATATTTTAAAAATATATTTCTATCATGGTTTATACCCAAAGTTGTATATAATTTATTTTTTGTTACAATAAAATAAAACACCATCCTAGTAAAATCTTTACACTGGTTGCCATAAAATGATTTGAAGTAGAACTATTAATGTTAACATAGGGAATAAAATACAGAACCTAAATTGGTTCATCAAAATCCTAATGATGTTACAACCGTAAAAAGTGCAGCGGTTACGTTTTTAAAATTGTTTACTAACGAAAGGTATACAGAAGCCATGATCCATCGTAGTAGTTTACAAAATGGAGTACATAAAATATAAACAATATAGATACAGTCATTTTATAATTGGATCACTTATAGTATTTGGAAGTATTCCTGTAATTTGGTACTAAAGGCAATAATTAGAGCTCAAGTCGCAAATAAATTGAATACAATTTCAGAAACTGACAAATATACTTATACCAATAAATTAAATTAAAGCAACATTGACCTTTTCAAATTCGAATTAAATCATAATTATTGGATCAGTTCACAAATCTGTTTTTACTACTATGTAAAGTAATGCATGGATAATCTAAAAATACCGAAATAGAAGCAAATTTCTACCCCTTTTAGCTCAAACATTACGGCTTTACTATCTGACGTTATTGGTATAAAATAAAATATCATACGTACTAGAAATTACTACTACATTAGTTACCTTATAAAGATCAATAACTTTAAATTGAATGAGAAAGGCCATCTCGCGTATAGTAGGAGTACGATCACCTTTTGCATACTAATATTTACATTTTACTTATTTCATTTCCATAAAGTTACATCGCTAAATACAGTAGTTTAAATGCTTTACTAAGTTACTGTAATTTATTAATAAAGAATTATATCGAAACTTTTTCCATATCATATTCACAAGGTACATTTTCGAAGGCTATTGGAATTTATCAAAGCTTTGTATACTTCAACATAGGGTAATGATTTCCATTTTTTAGTTATCTTTCAATTTTCCATATAATTTGCCAAGTGTTTTCGCACATGTATTTATACACTATATACTGTATATATAACGAGAAAGATAGAGAGCACCACGATATCCAAGGTTATATGTAGAGTGGATATATAATCACAGCCAAGGTCAATTTAAAAAAAAAAATACTATGCTGGTATGATCATTCCCCAATCTAACTAAATCATATCCATCATTAAGGTTGAAAAGTCTTTCATTTCAGAAAAAAAAGTAATTAATATTCCACACCATATTTATCAAAATGGCGTAAAATAATGCCCAACTGTAAACGGATCGTACCCATTGCTTCAGTATGCAAGTTGCAACGATCAGTACTTGTATAAATAGCACTAGGATCTTTAATTTCCATTCCACCACCAACAAAAACCTGTCGTAATTGATCTTGAAATGTGCCCGTTGGACGCCAAGTTACGCATTCTACATCATGCGTTCCAGGCGATGTCGGTAAATTACAAAATCCATAACCATAGAGTTCATGTCGGCCGAATCGATCTTGATGCCAAACTTCAAAATACATTTTCGGCCAACCGTATAAGCTCTTAGTAGCATAATGAACATCGATAGGATGATCCCAAATAGCAAATTCTTCATTTTGTGGATTATCTACTTGTGTTTGGCCTTCATGATTTCCTTCTAATAATCGCCAAGCGTTTTCGGTATGGATAGACCATTTACAATATAAATTATTCGATGGAAACCCAGTAGCACCAATAATTTCACCAATGATGTGAACTTCAGCCATACTGTTAGATTAATTTTTGGCCAATTTCCTACTTCTCGTCTATAATTTGATAATTTAAAGCTGGATAATATCAATAATAAGTAAGGGAATGGAAGGAGATTTAGTATAAGAAAAGCAACCGTGAACTAGCGATTTTAAATACTTTGCTGCTATGCAACCGTTAAACGCATGCGCAACGAGGTGCATGACGTAAGAGTGCAAAACTCTCCCGATCTCTCCATAATGGCCGCCATGGAATTGGCATTAGAGATCTTTGATACGATCTCGAAGCCACACTAAACATCTACATTAGCTCATTAGCACTGTATCAGTAGCTTTTAGAGTTACTGTTTTTGAAAATATGCTAATTTGCTTGTATCATCCTTATTGTTACTTCTGATGATTGAGTTTGCAATGGGTAGCAGCATCGCTACAAGAGCAGTGCAAATGTTGGGGGTTAAGGTTAGGGATTCATGACATCTGTTAATTAAAGCTATTCAGTACTACTATTCAACCGGATCATGGACTCTTAGTAGTTCATGGCACTGTAGACTGGAAGCAGGTAGGCTAGATCGATGATATATCTTCAGTAGTGAATGAATAATGAAATTAGAAAAAGACTTGATGATAATAAATAAGCCTAAAACTACTACGCAATTAATACTCGTATGAGAACGTAGATCGATGACTATTTGATAAAGCTGTTTATTACTACTTTTCAACCGGATCATGGACTTGCAGTAGTCCATGGCACTGTTGACTGGAAACAGGTAGGCTAGCTGAACGATTTTTGTACAGTAAATGAATGAATAATGTAGTTAGAATAAGGTTCGATGAAAAATAAATCAAAAAATAAATAAAACTAAAAGTTAATGCGCAACTCCTGATACCTTAGGGTTTACGTATTAATTACTTGACAGAGCCATATGGTAATAATGTCTATATACCTTAGTCCATACTGTTGTCCAGCACGGTAACTATTTCCTGAAGCAGTAAAGTATACATTATTCTAGGCTTTGGTTAGCCCGGGGAATTTGTTATTCTAAAGAAATTATTCTAAAGAAATTGGCTGCAGACATGTTTACACACGTTGCAAGCATAGTAATAGACTGTGACGTAAGACAGGGATTCTTGTATGCACCAGTATACGATCGGTCGGGTGTTTTAAGTAGTTGTGCAGTTCTCGACTTTGTGCCCAAGGTGAGCAGCTGACCGGAGTCAGCTGAAGTAGTTGCTGCAGCAAATCGGTCGAGGATCTCTTTTAACATTAAAAGACAAAATTAAATTATAGTATTTGTATTGCAAGGGCTGTTCATAAAGGGGCGAGGAGCTCAATTGACGTTTCTGCAAGTTGTGCGTGATCAGCTGGTGTATCCTGATTGACTATTCTTCATGGTGCTAACACTGCATAACATCAACGATATTTTGAGCTACAAATTTTAATTGATAAGGTAAACGTTGAGTCTATACAGATTATAAGTAAGCTTGATCATTTACTTAAGGTTAATACAGTAGTAGTAACAATTTTTTGTTATCGTATTTTACGATGTTGTAGATTACTGTATTGTAGATCATGAGCTTGGGTATTAAGCTACTAATCATGCAATATTATTACTGCAAGTTAATCCGTTTTAGTGTAAAAAGAGCAATAAATAATTGATTTCAATACTTGCAACACGTAAACGTTGTATTCGCATTGATTGCATTGCCGTTATGGGAATTAGAAAGGGAATAACTCTGTACTCCATCCAATCACCATGACTACACCTACCGAGATTGATCAAGATGAGATGATGGCACGCAAGTTACAAGCTGAGGTAACGTATAACATAGCTGCCATATAGAATACTGCAAATACTTGTATCAAGGACTAACAGAGCTGCTATGTAGAACACTGTCAATACTTTTATCAGGATCTACTAGAAATCCCTACTACTAGGTATTTCTAAGAGTCCTTGCCTGTATCTAGTAGTTATACATAGACGGAGGAATGAGATTGGTCATGGAATACTAGTGCACTGTGGTAACAAAAAATTCGTACTCGGTTGATATCATCTATAGTATTAAAGATAGAAAGATTTCCAATTTGTGTTATGTTGTCTACATCAGTTCATACGTATCGTAAAATAGACGGCAGAATGAGGTTGGCCTTTGAATACTAATGCAACTACTCTAGCAACATAAAATTCAGACACCGTTAATCTAATGATGATTCCATCTACTATACTAAACCAAGAAGGATATCCATTGACTCTATGATACTACTTCGTAATTGCTACAATGTATTAGTTCATAGCTATTTTTGCAATACTTCTTTTATATTGATAGTGCATCAACTCAATTGCCTACTGTATGTATACTAATGTAAAGTCAGGTAAAGTTTGTACCACATATCATCATAATAAATATACTTGGTAGGAATTTGAAAATATTGGAATATTATGTTTTACTATTCAGTTAATAATAAAGGTTAATATAACAGTACGATCTAGAATATGCAATGTCTCAAGAATATGAGGAACCGGAAGCTGGTAAATCCTCGCATAGTAAGCTTACCTGTAATAGTAGAGCTACAACTTGGCAGATAATATCAACAGCTACCTTATCTTCAATTATCCTGAGATAACCTAAAGATAGATGAAATGAAATTTAATTTACTACTTTATATTGCAGATCAACAAGAAGTAGTATCCGCTAATACTTCCAAAGATGAGACCGAAAATATAGATCAAAGTAGAAGTTCGAGGTTAATAGATACTCGACCACTATGCAAATATGGAGGTAAATGTTACAGGGAAAATCCCTTACACTTTATGGAATACCGACATTCAGGTTCGAAAATCCACGAAATATTAATTATCGTGCAATAGTACTAATACTCGTAGATATTTTTGTTCTTTTATGGATCTTTAACCACTTAATTTTAGAAGTTTACCTTCTGTATATTGTGTTTAAAAGTCTAATAAATATTCTACTTGTAGGTGAGGCAAACAGTAGGGAAGTAACCGAAAGTCCCAGAAAAAAATTGAAAAGTCATGACGTTCGAGTCGAGCAGCCAAGAGTAGAAACGAAAGAGCATAGCCAAGACCAGGCTGAGCCTGATCAAATGTGTAACAAATATTCATATTATTTATCTAAAGTTCGCGGTCTTAATAATAATTACAATAGTAGAACCAGCAGTATTCATATTAGAGGTAAGATATTTAACCAAGTTTATTGGCGAATATCTCTATTGCTATAAAACTAAAATCCTGATTAATCCATTTCTAGAAATTCTTGCCTTAGAAAAGAGTGAATTAATATCATCTATACAGGTATTTGATTTATAGGAATAGCAGTAGCAAAAACTAATGCACATCGGTAAAAAGAAAGTATAAGCTAACCTAACTTATTGGAATAATCTTCGTTCTCAATAAGTTCAATTACATGTTTGATGTCAGTTGGCTATTGGACCAATACCCAGAAGATTACAGGTAACAAGAAATTTTGATGTTTATAGTTGAATACGGTACCAGTTTTGCTTTAAATATGGAACAAAATTACAAATATGCTACGGGCCAAAGTTGCTACCATAAATGATTTTTTCTCCGTTAGGAAAAATCCAGTTTTAATTGTACACGGTTACAGCGGCCAGTCTCGCAATAATTTAGAGCAACAAGGGCAACCATTTCCAAATGTTAAATTTCATCAGGTTAATTGATCACTTATTTAATAGAAATTTAATTCAAGTAACAACTTCATTAAACGTACTAAATCATGCTTTAATATAAATAAATCAATGCATGGCTAGTGATGTCAAGTAACTCTTGTTGAGTCCTGTTGACGTAGTAAAATAAATGAATATAATTTACAAATAAAATTTCACTCTTTAAGGCAAAATTAGAAATGGCCTATGGTACGCATCACAGGTACGTGTAGTAGATAAGTAAAATTTTAGCAATTTAGTGATTGCTGTAGATAGATCGGAAGTCATACGTTTTTAACAATATTTTTTACAAGTTTGTGAAGCGATTGGTGGGTATTTTTTGCAAAATCTAATAATTTTGTAATCATTACAGTAAGATGATGTTTCTATTGTACTCGAACGGACTACGAATTGTTATTCATACCGCAAATCTAATCCCACAAGATTGGGGTCGTAGAACGCAAGGGTAATCGTGACAACCGATAATCATAAGTGTATTTACATCCTTTAAATTTCACTTTTAATAAGAATTTATATTTGTTAAACTTTTGCTATAGTATTTGGATAAGTCCACTATTTCTGAAACGATCAGATAAATCAGAAATGAACATAGCAGATGATACTGGATTTAAACAAGATTTACTGGTAAGAATTTAAATTGATTAATGTTTATCATGATGAATCGCTGCCGATACTTTAAAGGCAATGTCAAATGTCATCTCTGATTCATGAAATGAAGTCGGATTAATGTCTTTTTATTCTGCGCGTATTTAGGATTATGTTGCTAGCTATGGACCGGCTTTATTTGAATGGAGAAGTCGAATTATGGAGCATGACATGTCATCCGTAAAGTAATTTGCAAACTTTATAAAACGATTATGATTGGCATAATTTGATGTATCTTACGATTATTTCATTGCTACTTCTTGTACAGCGTTTTTCTAATAGCTTCGGTCCCTGGTAGACACGCTGGTAAAAATATTGATAAATGGGGACACTTGAAACTGCGAAAGGTATTTGTTGTTATAATGACTTTATGACTGAGTATTCTTTATTAATTGTACTACAACATTTCGTAAGATTCTAAAACGTAATGGGCCAAGTAAGGATGATGTATCAGCAAATTGGCCAGCCATATGCCAATTTTCTAGCATTGGTTCGCTTGGTAGTAAGCGTGATGCATGGTTGTATAGCGAATTTAGGACTAGTTTATCTTCCACATCAACGACAAGGTTATCTCAATTGGGAGAAAGAAAAGCTGATGTTAAGCTGGTTCGCTTGCCAAATATTTTTTTAAGAGTATCGGGATTAATCAACATTGTAATTCATGAACTGTTGAAAATTTCACAAACTTAGATTTTCCCGTCTGTAGAAAATGTCCGAAATTGTTTAGAAGGTTATAAAGGTAAGGTAGCGATTTAAAATTAGTCTTGAATGAATTATCTTTGTAGTCCATTATGTTGTATCAGTTTATAGCTGTTACATCATTGCTTTTGCGTATTAAAGTTTATCGTAGTACACCTAACATTTGAATTGCACTACTTAAAACGTTAAAGGTGGTTCTTGCTTACCATACAATCGGGGTACCGCCAATAAACAACCTTGGCTAAATTCCTTATTACAGTAAATAACATTTTTTACCGTAAATTTAATACTCGCAGTCTATTTCCTGTAATTCTATCGTAACATTGTAATTATCTATTTAATGCGAAGCAATTGGGCTGCCAAAAAAACTGGACGCCATCGTGCATCTCCTCACATCAAAACTTACACTCGCGTATCACCAGATAATACAGAATTAGCTTGGTTTCTTATAACCAGGCAAGTGTTGTTTTCTTATTTTATGCACATATACAGTCAATGATATGGCAGAATAATTCAAGTGTATTTTTATGTCATAAATGATAGCGCAAATCTTTCCAAAGCTGCTTGGGGCACAATGGAAAAAAACGAAACGCAGTTGATGATTCGATCTTATGAAATTGGTGTACTCTTTCTACCCAAGCAGTTTGTAAGATACTGCAATAATTGCATTATTACTGAATTCTGATAACAATTTAAATTATAGCGTTTGAAAGTTAATGGTAATTGTGATTTCGAAATGTAAAGGGGGATGGTAAGACATTTAAAACTTGTGACCTGAAGACAAACTGGTTAATTCCTTACGATTTACCGTTGATTCCGTACGGACTTCAAGGTATATTTAACAATCAATGTAACTTTATATTTTAAACAGCAATGTCATCAAACAGCATGGCATCCTTGATAATCTTTCTATACGTATGCATTACGTAATCATGCTGACTATGCTTTAAATTTCGCTTTTTGTTAGATTCCCCATGGACATGGGATACACCTCATCTTGAGCCTGATACTCATGGTGCTCAGTGGATTCCAGGAGGATATAAAGCCTTTAGGGAAAGCCGCTATGATAAAGAGGAACAACCATGAAAGAAAAACGGAGGAAGAAATTTGCACTGGGTAATCGGAAAATGATTTTGCTTTTCTCAACTTGAAATAGCATACTATGTAGTTGTGAAATATCTAAACTTTTGTTACTATATAACTGCGGCCTTGATGGACCAGTTAATACGTATATATATATATACATCGCGACGTATGTTACTGTTCATCTTGCCTTCCTGCTTGATTCCTTGAATGTATTATTTTTCGTTACTTAACGTGATGTATCTAATTTTTGTAACAAAGCACAAAGCGTGGAAGCATTGGCTAATCGATCTTGTCATAACTGTGCTTGTTACGGTGATAAGTCTTGAATTGTACAATTCTAGTTGACCAATTTATCTGTAAAGACTGATAATGTATAGTATCTGTGTGTATAGTACATTGTAATACGATAGAAACAACAGCATAATACTGTTGCATAAACTGCAAACTGAAGATGGAAACGTAGCGAGAATTGCAATTGTTAACTGAGTGAATATTCTCTTTAGCATTCTTACATAAATAAAGCAAGTGTTGAATGAAACAATAAAACTTTTACTTTATTTAATCTTATTAACCGTAAATATTAATATAAACATATGTACAAAAAATGAGCTGCTTCACGTTGATGAAATTAATTTGACATTCTAAATAACGGAAACTAGTTATTTCTCAACATTCTATCATTAGGAGTAATATTTAATTAGCACAAGAGATGGATTCGCAGGTACAAAACTGGATATCCATGCTAAGGTGATTGTCGCATAACTCTGAAATAGAATTATTTTAATTATTTTCCGTAGCGTAAATCGGAGCCAAAATTCTATTTTTACTCGTCTCAATAATGTGACCGTTCAGGATCATCTCGTCAAGGATCATATAAGCTTTTTCGACATTCATGGTAATCTATTCGGGTAGAAAGAGCATATTATGGTATTCAAAATCTGTCAATTCAAATCTCCTATTATTATCCAAACACAGTTATTGACAAAAAATTGGACCACGATATTAATTTAAAGCATTCTTACATCTAGTTCGGACTGTTAACCGGTGACCATAATTTTTCGCATCGATTGTCAGAGAATTGAACATATAAAAATTAAGTATAGAGAGTTATCCATAATAGCAAAAATCCATCGATTCATAATTATCTCTTGCACTATCATTATCATGGGATGTGAATAATTGATGAATAGATTAACACGACTTTAGGTAGATTTTGTACCAATCTGCTAGCAGTATGTTGATACTGTATTATTTATTAACGCAAGCACTAAAATGTGATTGAGCTTTGGAGGTAGTTACTTTATAATTTTATCATACGCGTAACTTACCACATCGTTAAAATATCGGTCAAAGGTTTCTACTAAATTTTGAATCAATTCCAGGATACTTAATTCATTCTAGATTACGTGGTAGTAAATGGAATATTAAAAATTGCATCAGATTGATTAATTTCTATTTATTGAACACAGCTGTACGTATACGAGTATGCTCTCGATTACTGTTCATATAGCATACACTAATCTTTTAAAGGATCGTCATTGTATTAGTTAATGAATTAGTTCAACCTCGATACTAATACCAATAATGACAAAATGCATTAATGGAGAGTCATAGAATATAAGATTTGGATGAATTGAGCAGGTATGATTGTATGAACATCACTTTGGACTGTACAAATGACCTCATTTAGTCAAGATCTAGCCGTGCATAGCCTACCTCATCGCTATCGACACCGACGATAAAAAATAAGGACATGTACCGTCGATAGATAAGCATCATGTTTTGATATTCTAGGAATGAGCACTATAAATAAATAAACGAATAAGATAGTTGTTAGTATGTGGCGTACAGGTGGAGAAAGCTCGATCTATTGTGATCGACAAAAATTGTGGTCCATATTTTCTCTACATGTGTACAGCTTTGTCCTGCAGTAGCTCTCTTTGCCACTTTGCATGATTAGCTGAATTTAGAGTCATTAGTTTGATGAGATGGAAACAATTGTACTAGGAGGAGTATAGATCGCTTATCCACTTATAGCGATTACATGATGATCATGGAGGAAGGGCCAGCTTGGATAACTGTATATACTTACATGGTATACTCGTACGGTTTAAATTGTCAGTTTGCTAATCACTAAGAATACGAGTGGAAGAACTTCCATATCATGATGGATCATTTTGATCAGTCACCCCCATTGACGCCTGTCAATGCGGTGTTTTATCCATAAAGAATAGTACTGATTCGCTCGTTTTATTACCTCTTTCTTACTTCGTGGTAAGCATTTCTGAATAGTCTCACGTTCTAGATTCTCTCTTTCTTCCCCAAGAATGTTGTGATAGTATCTCGAAAGCCGACTTTGGCCATCTTTGTTCACCAAGAGTATAAATTTGATCATTACTTTGTCGTGGATCGCTACAGTTTTCAATCAATCATGCCCTAAACAGTATCCAATAAGTCAATGTTCATGGCTTGTCCAGCTTATACCTGCCTTCCAATGATCGTCTCCCTTGCCAGAGAAGAAGCGATGGAGTTTTATTTATTTATTTTAGAGTTAACAGGATCAAAATATGGAAGAATTGTTGATGACGACGACAGATGAGAATGTTGCTTAGCATTAGAATCTTTGCATACCGTGTATAGTCCAGGTCACAGCGCTGGGCAAGGACAGAATGACGGACTGGCTGTTGCCTGAAACTAGTCTAAGATGGACAAGGTGGAGAAAGCTTTCCTGCTGCTTGTATTTAATGTTGAATTAAATCAGTTCAATAGTTTATCTCATTAAGATAGCCGATCATGATAATTTACTGATGAGCTACTAGAATGAAACTTGAATTTACGGTTTCGGATAACGGGATGTGCTGGTGAATGCATCATCAAGCTGTAGCATGTTGCAGAGTTCGCCATTTCTTGCAAGCAAACATTGATGATCCATTCGTTTGCATAGCTACACAAACTGAACCTTTAACATGTCTAACCTCGTCAATTATGACAAACATTGTGTAGGTGTTGCTGTTTCTGTTTAGAGAGCTAGGCGAAGGTTGTAGACTGATTCAAAGACAATGAGTGTGTCGAAAACACTATCACATTGAACGGCAGTTGGCGAGCTGGAGCAAGCGGCAAAACAACTGCTAATGCAAAATGGCAGTCAATAGTATGTTTAAGTGAAGAGATAATTGAATTGCTTTGCTAATTGCATTTGTCTCTCCAGGACAACACCATGTTTTCCATTGAGGCATTGAAAGCGGACGACATGCATACTATTACTATTGGCTGGAAAGCATATGTTGACATTATCGTGATAAAACAACATTGCACATAGAAGGCGTGCCTTGAATTAAAGCCATCATCTCTAGGCCCTTCCAGCATGAAGAAAGACAAGAAGTGGACTTGAAACTTATCACTTGAACGTGAACTGGTGTAACTAACACTATACTGGAAAGTGCTGACAGGGTGTATTTACTTTATTTTAGAAATACAATCCTCAGCAAATTCAAAAAGTCAATCACAGAGCCCTTGCATTTTGAAGTTACAGTAGTGTATTGTGAAGGTAGGCTAAAAAGGGAAAGATGCAAGGGGTCTATGTCTTTTGCTGAAGTGGCCATTATTGCTTCGATTGGCCCGTTTTCACATATTATGTATTGTAGAGTCCTTGCATGCAAGACTTTGATGTAGACTGATCAAGTCTACTATTGGCACCTCTTCCTGGACGTTCCAATTTTAGCTCATGCAAACGCATGGCTATGAATGGTAGTCCCTTTGCTAACTGATTTACTCACTGCAAGATGACTTGAAGGTGCAGCAAGTTGCATCGAATGGATATCCAAGCTGTTTAGATACCCGATTGAAGCACTGTAGACTGTAGTACAGTCGTTTCGATGGTCGGGTAGAATAAGATTGAAAGGTATTTCAGCAGACAGTAAGTAGCATGCAGTGGGCCGTCTGTCTTTGCAAATCGGTCGCCATTTTTCTGCTACAATGATGTCCAATGACCTGCCATGAATTGACAATATTGACCGATCGACTGGATAGAGAATGAATGTAGGCATAGGCAGAGTCATGGACTCTTCCACTACCATCCATTTTGAGGACATATTATACTTACATTATGTAGATAGAAAGCAAATCAAAGCATGGACTTGATTCTACAGTAGTAGTCTATATTCATTTCTTCGTCTCTACTACTGATTCCTGACTGCTACAGCGTTGCAAACAATATTATAGATAGAAAGCAGTAGTAGTCCATGTTCATTTCTTCCTCTCTACAGTACTACTAATTGCTGACTACTATAGCGTTGCAATCCACTTTGGTCAACGTTGCAAACATATTATAGCTAGAAAGCAAATCTAAGCATGGACTACTAGAAGACTTGATTCTACAGTAATAGTCCATGTTCATTTCTTCCTCTCTACAGTACTACTAATTGCTGACTACTATAGCGTTGCAATCCACTTTGGTCAACGTTGCAAACATATTATAGCTAGAAAGCAAATCTAAGCATGGACTACTAGAAGACTTGATTCTACAGTAATAGTCCATGTTCATTTCTTCCTCTCTACTACTGATTGCTGACTGCTACAGCGTTGCAAACATATTATAGATAGAAAGCAAATCAAAGCATGGACTACCGGAAGACTTGATTCTACAGTAGTAGTCCATGTTCATTTCTTCCCCTCTACTACTAATTGCTGACTACTATAGCGTTGCAATCCACTTTGGTCCACGTTGCAAACATATTATAGCTAGAAAGTAAATCAAAGCATGGACTACTAGAAGGCTTGATTCTACAGTACTGTAGTAGCCCATGTTCATTTCTTCCTCTCTACTACTAATTGCTGACTACCATAGCGTTGCAATCCACTTTGGTCAGCGTTGCAAACATATTATAGATAGAAAGCAAATCAAAGCATGAACTACTACAAGACTTGATCCTACAGTAGTAGTCCATGTTCATTTCTTCCTCTCTACTACTGATTGCTGACTGCTATAGCGTTGCAAACTTCTTCTTCCTCGTTGCAAATTTCTTCTTCTTCTTCTTCGCTCCTCCAGGCTATGACGCAATGAGGTATCGTAGAGTGTAGAGTGCACAGTACCAGGTACTGTACACTGTACAAAAGAGACGGTACCCCATTGGAGGCCGTCGAGTAGATATACTCTGTCAGCTGTCCTGGAATAGGATTTACACTGGAAAGCGGCGCGACCATGGTTACTTTAGATCCGCCATAGTCAACATCAGCGCCACTTGAGGTACGACACTAGGGACCACCACCAGCACCGTTTGGTTGGCCATACTGGGAATAGGTTGGCGATAGTGATAAGAGACTTATGTATAGCGCACACAGTCATGTTACAGTACGCACTCGTCGTGTGGAACACGAGTGTCGGTTCAGCACGAACCCTGGTGGTCGAAAATCCCTTCTATAGTCAATCATAACACTCAGTCCAATTCATAGTATTATAACTAGAAATAATACCCTTGAAATCGACACACCACTAACAGGCATCCTTTGACCAGGGGCAAACTTAACCCTCTGCCAGGTAGACGTCGGTTTGTCCAGGGGCAGTATGGGAAATTGGAAACGATGATGGAGTCGGAAGGAGGCAATATGCAAGTCCAGGTTGAAATGGAGCCACCAATTCATCAAGAAGAACCCGATCGAAAAGCAGAATATACGATTCCAGGAATTCTACATTACCTACAGCATGAATGGACACGATTTGAAATGGAAAGAGCCCATTGGGACATTGAACGAGCTGAATTACAGGTAGAGAATCTTGTTGTCGACAAGGAGGAGGGGGGGGGGGGAGAGAGAGAGAGAGAAAGGCAAGTAGATTTAATCCTTCTGGCCAAGGCCATCGTCTCTCGATTCCTAGACGATCGCTACTAGAATACCACACGTCGTCATCATGTCGTCTTTAGCCATGCTAGTTAACAGAGATGGCGTAGACAATCATGCTTCTTGCCTACTTGATCTTTTTCCTTTCTTCCTCCACCATCGCTTAATTGCAAGAGAGAGAGAGAGAGAAAGGCAAGTAGGTTTAATCCTTCTAGCCAAGGCCATCGTCTCTCGATTCCTAGACGATCGCTACTAGAATACCACACGTCGTCATCATGTCGTCTTTAGCCATGCTAGTTAACAGTCATGGCGTAGACAAGAATGCTTCTTGCCTACTTGATCTTTTTCCTTTCTTCCTCCACCATCGCTTGATTGTAATACGATCCATTGGATCTTTCTCATCCTATTTGTTGTTCATCATGCTTGTTGTTAGTCAGAAATCAGTTGCTAAAGTAACTCTCTTCTACCTATTGGAGTAGATACGATCGATTGTATTCCCCTTTCATCATCGATCATAACAAGGATGGAGAGTAGAATTCTCCATCGCAATCTCCACAGTGGATTTCTCCTTCCCCCCCCCTAAAAAAAAATCCCTCCGATCATGTTTACGCTTCTGCCGAAGTAGTTCGATCGATGATGATTTTGACGTTGTAAAGTATCTCTAGCTTGAATAAATCATCGATCATAACAAGGATAGAGAGTAGAATTCTCCATCGCAATCTCAACAGTGGATTTCTCCTGACTCGTTCGATCGATGATGATTTCCATGTTGTAAAGTATCTCTAGCTTGAATAATCATCGCTCTACGATGACAACGGCCATCATCAAGAGCAGTCGTCGATCATGGCGATGATGGGGAGGTTTTGAAGGCAAAGGAAATCGCCAGCCATGACTTGATGCAGGCTATTGCAACAGACGATCATCATCATCATCATCATGTCTTCCTACTTGGAGGACGATTGATGTCTTTTCCAATAATAGTGTCGACATATTCGGATGGCTGAGACAGTGTATTCGAACACCTTGGCATGTTCCTATTCCTCTATTCCATGCGTAGACACATGACTGTGTAGGGTTGGATTTTCCAGCAATAGTGCTAAAAGGTGTTGGTGCCATTTTAATCTTTCACGTCGCCATCTATAACTTTGCGCTTAGTAGGACGACAACGAATGCATTTCCAATAACATGACTGATAATCTCTTCAACTTGAATCGTGTAGAGAGTCAATATCGTTGTCAAATCCAATTCATTTCACTGGTTATTTTTCCCATCATTAGTGTTGGAGGATAAGTTGGAATCCGTTACGGCGATCGATCTGAAATCAGCCGTTGTAAAGGATGATGTCGATGATGATTATTTAGCCCATCTATCCTTTACTAACCCACGGAGATCCATCTTTCCTCTTGCTTTATTGTAGTGCCATCACTACTAGCATTTTCTTCATCCATAGCATCATCTTGCGGTGTAGAATAGCGCTGAAATAGAGATACATTGAATCCAGTCATTCGGTCAATCCATTTTACATCAACCCGTTTTATCTCGGCTAAAAAAATATTTTGACAAATTTTTCCATCAGCATCAGATCGCTTGGTGCCTGATCATCTTGACACTCTAGGATGAACATCAACAATCGTCATCGCTGTTTGTTAGCGATGATGATCTTTCCCTGTTGATTCCTCCATACCATGACTGCAGTAATCATGTCAATTTGTAGAGTCGTTCCTGATGCCTAGAAGACGTTGCTCTGTCCTAGGCAAGATTGCCATTTTACTCTATCCAATCCATGACATAACCCTATCTGAAATAGAGAAATCATTGACATGGAGATCTCCACCACTGCTTTTGTCGTTGATCGTTGGGATGGATTTCTGTTTTTACATGGAGCATGGCAATATTGAAAATGCAAAGTTCTTAACACATGCTTATCCATGACGCGTTTGTAGTAGACGATGGTCAATTTCAGGATGGATATCGGCAGGTTGAATGGCTAAATGATTAGTAACCGATGCCCAATAGTAGGCGAAAGATCGCCATTTTACCCTATCTAGTAGATGTTATTGACTCATACTGATCGACTACTATTTTGATAGTAGACAGTTGGGATGGTCCGTTTCAGTTTTTTTCATGTGGCATAGCCACCGTTGAAATGGAAAACGATTTACCTCAGACGATCCACCGCTATCCTTTTAGTAGACAGTTGCGATGGCTCATTTCAATTTTGATGGTAGCATAGCCATCATTAAATTGGAAAATGGTTTACCTCTCGGGTGATCCATTATTATCATTGTATTCATGACGGCTAGAATGATCCATTTCAATTTTGACGATGGCTTAGCCATCGTTGAAATAGAAAACGATTTACCCCAAAAGATCCACTGCTATCCTTTTAGTAGATAGATGCCATGATCCATTTCAATTTTGATGGTGGCATAGCTATCGTTAAATTGGAAAACGGTTTACCTCTCGGATGATCCATTACTATCATTGTATTAATGACGGCTAGGATGATCCATTTCAATTTTGATGGTGGCATAGCCATCGTTGAAATGGAAAACGATTTACCCCAGATGATCCACTGCTATCCTTTTAGTAGACAGTTGCGATGGTTCATTTCAACTTTGATGGTAGCATAGCTATCGTTGAAAATGATTTTACATCGGATGATCCATTTGTTTGCGCTATTCGGTTCGACATTTTTGAGTCTGATAGGTGGCCATACCAATCGATTGATAAAAGATAGAGTAGCTACGATACCAAATCAGATAGTTTTCCTTGCTGTAGTCGGTTTATTGGATCGAGGTAATCTTGCCGTTGATAGTCAACACTCTCTCATGGATGAGAACGATTTTGTCCGCTAGAGGATACTGCTACCGAATAGCAACTATCAGAGAATTTTCTTTGCAGATCAGGACGATTCTATAAGCGCCCATCGGCAGGAATTCTTCCGCTTTTGATAACCTTAGGAAAGGATCCTGACGAAGGCCAATTCATGTCGATTATACGTATAACTAGAACTGATTTAGTCAAAAGCTTGGAACAACTGAAATCTGAGTTCAGTAATTCGTACCAGCAATGGCTGAGAATTGAATCATTTTTCTTTTTCGAAATTCATTCTGATAGACTAGTGATACTTCTACATCATTCAAGGTCAGGGTTTAAATTGATTTAGTTTTGAAAAATTTCTCATCTGCTGTAAGTCATTGGACATCTCCTGTTAGCCGTTAAAGTAAATATCTTCCATTAATCTGATTCAATTTACGCCTGGCCAACGTTTGCTTTCAAACGAATCAATTCTAAAGATTTTTTGCAATGGTTGTTTATCAACTATGGATTAGCGTAGTTAATTTAATTTAAAGACCGTTTTTACAAAGTTGTTTAGAATCAGAACAGTGAACAGCGATCCAGAATTTACCCGAACTGTTCTTGAATCCTAAGTTTTTCCTCTATAACTATATCAATTGATGATCAACGCTGTCCTTAATGGCCCTTAGCATACCGATCGATGGACTATGCTTATTCTTTCTAAAACTACTGTACAAGAGTAATCTCGCTGAGCAAGAATATCAACACTCGGGTCCTTTTTGCCACCATGGCACATGATTTTCACACTTAAAATAATAAAAATAGCCATCTTGTAATGCTTAATAATTAATTATTAAAGCATCAATCGATAGCGTCTGCCGTCTATACAGAGGATCGATATTATTAATTCCAATTTTATCCTCAGTACTGCATAATCAATGCCTGATAGTTATTGCTTAGACAGGGTACCGTATAGTGCTCATAGGCAATTGATTTCATGAAGAGGAAAGTACTTGTGTTGTGGCGCATTAAATTCCATCGAGGGAATGAGGGAAGAAAACGTAATTGGATACCGGCTAAAGACTTCACGATGACATCAATTTTATTCCTATTGATGTAATCCTTTCTTTCACACAAGAATAGATGGGCAATGTTGATGATATCCTATTTGAAAGAACTACAATTAAATACAGACTGTGCGACGCAATGGGATGTTACAATAATTAATGTATAAACACGCCATTAATCACTATCCACTATTGCAATCAGACCAGCCTGAATGATCTATTGATCCCAATGTTTGCATTTGATCAACTTGATTGCCTTGTCAGGCTATTCGCCAATCTCGATTGTTTAGTCAAAGGAATTTCTAGACACTTTGGTTCATGGATTTTGATGAGACTTTCTATCCGTCTACTATCTTAATTAGACAGTATCCTTCTCGTCTCCTTGTGACTTTCCCAGCTTTTTTACTATTACATGAGGGCTGACGATCCTAATTGGCTTTGAACATCATCTACCGGTTGTGCAAGTTATGATTGAAAGATTTCCCCTTCACTTTATAGACGAATACGTGAATAGTTTTACCTCGATTAAATTATCCATCAATCCACCTCTTATTACTGTAAAGTAACTTTCGTATTAAATATTGTTTTCTTAATAATTGAAATGTTATTTTCATAATTTTCAGGGTCGCATCGCATTTCTTCAAGGAGAACGCCGAGCTCAAGAAAACTTAAAAAATGATTTAGTAAGAAGAATTAAAATGCTGGAATACGCCCTCAAACAAGAGAGGTTCGTCAACGTTGATGACAGTCTTGAACTAGTTGTAGTTTTAAAAACTTTCGTTGTTTCTCTTTGTAGCCAATACAAGGAGTACAGTGTTAGTTTACTCAAGTATAATTGACCTATCAGTAGTCTTGGGTAGCGCTATTTCAAAATGAAGATAAATGTCCTATAGCTTTTGCAATACATAGTTTAGTAATAAGAGACTGTTGGATAACTATTCCTAATACCTCTTTGACTACATTTATAATAGGACAAAATTCCATAAATTAAAATACGGGACAGATCTAAAATTTGAGGATAGCAAAGCCGATGCAGTAGCCAACGAGGAAGAGAAAAATGGTAACAATTAAACTCTCGTTAGAAAATTGCATATGATCGATATTTGCAATTATTACCCGTTCTTCTTTGTATAAAATCAAAGTATTGTATCCTAGTAATGATGTTAGAATTGCTTATTAATGGGAGGATGTAGAAAACTTCTAGATTGACCTTAGAGAGTATATCACATCAAGTCTATATTGATATTATGTTGAACGATGACAATTTAAAATACTTGCAGTTGCTACCTAATTTATTAGAACACTTAAATAGAGCTAAAGGTTAAAATACACATCCTCCTAAAGCTGTATAAAGGATGAAAATACTTTAAAAATTAAATTTCTCATACCTTCATTAAAACGACAACGATAATTGAAATTACATGCAGTGACTACCAAACTTATTAAACATTTAAGTAAAACTAAAGGTTGAATCACACATCCACCTAAAGCTGTAAAAATGATGAAAATACTGTGCTAATTGCATTTCTCATGCTTTAATTTTACTAGCTGGTCCATTACCGAACGAAGAAATCGGAGATTTAACTTGGAGACAAGGAAGACAATTGCTCAGACAGTAAGTTAATTCATTTCCTTTAATCATATCAAGCAGATTGGCTCAGAAAGGCTACAGAATGATCTGATAATGTAATCTTCATAAGCAATTACTATGTAAGGTGTGAGATTACTGTACTGAGACTGAGAGATTATGTTATTATCTCTAGCCTTAAAATGGGTCAGGTTGTCAATGAAGTCTTGTGAACTTAGTTTGAGCCATTTATCTATCTTATGTGCTTAATAGCATACTACTAGACATAGTATCACTATTATACGCGTATGCTTACTGAAAGAATTTCGTCGGTACGTCATAAAAGTGACCGCTGTAATATGCATCACCATTTACCTTACAGATATTTACATGAAATTGGCTATACAGACACGATTCTAGAAGTTAGATCAGCACGAGTACGTTCTTTAATGGATCATTTGTCATTCGGGAAAGCTACTTCTGCGGCCAAAGATGAAAGTAACAAGGGAAAACCAGAAGCATCCAGAAAATTAAACGAAACCCAGCCAAGGTACAACGAGCATGACATGGAATGAATTGCATACCCGTAACAAGCGATGATAAATAGGATTCAGAATTCACACTTGCTTGTTGTTTACGTGATATGCAGTTCTACCCATAAGATAAATACGATGTATCGTTAATAATTCATTTGTGTAATAGTTACGATAGAGCCGACAACATGATTGCAGCAGACGATGAAAGTGCTGGAGCCGAAGACGCAATTATGTCAGAGTTCAATTTTCTTGCTATTGAAGGTACATATATACTCGATATTGAAATGTAGCCGATTTAGAAGCGATGGAAATCAATTCCAGCTTCAAACTGCGCCTAAATTTGCTAAATATTATACAGTGTAATTAAACTATACATGACATATATTCTTTCTTACCGAATTAGACGACTCTGAAGAAAATGGAGCAACATACTTTGAAGAAGGAGGCAACGATGATGATGACAACGTTGATGGCCTACCTACTTCATCTGATGATATCATGTTTGATAACAGTAAAGATGCATCGATAGCATTTATGCGTACTGCTGAAAGTGGTACAGACGATAGTATGATAACCATAATAGAAGATGCTATGGCTGTCAGCCCAGAAGAAGCTGCTGCTAGAGCGTTAGATGAATTCAACTTTCTAGTTGCAGAGGATAATGAAATTGAAGCTGATGAATCTACAGCTGACAAAAATGCTGCAAAAAATCGTAGCGAAAAATTAGGCTTAGGTAATTTAGAAATGCAATCTGAATGGAACGTTGATGCATCAGCAATCGAAAAGTTGAAAGAGCAATACAAAAAGGAAAGAAAATCAAAGAAAGTTTTAAAACGTTAGTTATAGTAGTTAATGCTTACGGTAGTTCTATCTTAATTAGCAATGAGTCCATACAGCTTAGAAAATTTCGAATTGTAGTCCTGCTCGTACACTCTTTTAAAGTAAATCACAAACGTTATTATTCTTTAGGACCTACAAGATCGTCGTTACAAGCAATGCTTGTCAATCTAGGAGAAGATGAAGGTTCCTTCTCATCAAAAGGATTCGGTGGCCCAGGCGGTGACTTTGGTAATCCAGATATGGAACAACCTGGATTACGAGGTGTTAGACCGTTTTCTGCTAGTAAACCAATTGTTCTTGGTGATGAATCTGTCGAGGGTGCAATTAGTTTAGGCGATTTAGCTGGTCTTTCGATATCCAATGAAGCTGAAGCTCTCAACAACGAGGTAGAACCATCAAAAATTATTTTCTTAATTTTGAAGGCGACTATCATGATATTATAAAAGCTCATTCGTATGTCAATTTGGTATTGGTAAACTCATTTTTACATACTTACATTTACTATATAGTCTGCGTCTTCCGGAATAATGCCTCAACATAAAACTTGGACCTTAAAATATACCCTCAGAAGGTCAGCTTCTTGTGTAGTAATACTAAAAGTTAAATCTACAGATGTGAACATTAATTTAATCTTATTCTTTTTAAATATTTTGCGAGTAGTCATTTCGATTGTGTTCGGTCGTTAGCATTTCATCCTTACGAGAATTTATTAGTATCGGCATCGGATGATCAAACGTTGAAATTATGGAATTTGCAACAAAAAGGGTCTAAAAGGTAAATTAACGTGAATTTTGTAACCTGTGTTTAGCGATTGATGATCAATCTTACCAGTTACGATCCCATTGAAGACATGTATTATCTTCTTCTAGGAATATGCAACCTGAAATTGAGCCACTTTATACGTATCGTGGCCATAGGTAATTGACTGCAGTTTCTGTAAACTACTTTAGTTGTTATTGTTACTATCTAATTACGGCTTACTGGATTGCACTCGTTTCACTATACGATGTTTTTAAATTTGCCCTACTTTATCATTTTAATAGGGGTGCCATTTTATGCACTACCATTTCCTCTTCTGGAGATACAGTCTATAGTGGCAGCACGGATGGCGAAATAAAATGCTGGTCACTTCCTTCCATTGAAAGCGATCCATACGACAGCTTTGGTAACTAATTTTCTGTTGATAGATTATCATTAAAAAGTTGATCAGTCTGTAATGGCTATAGCTAACGTTATCCTATTGGGCTGCTAGACCCTAGAATAGAAAAGGGAGCTTTGTCAGGGCATACAAATGCGGTCTGGAGTATTGCCGTACATCCCGATAGTGAACACATTATTTCATGTTCTGCCGACGGTACCTGTAAACTGTGGAGACCTGGCACCCTAGCCACACCTTTGATCGCTACTTTTACTGCAAATGAAGGTATTAAATCATGACATAGACAGATCGTGCCATTGTAAGTATCTACTCTGTATCTAATTTACTCAATCGCAATCATTCTATAGATGATGGGATGCCAACGTCAGTTACGTTTTTACGTAATGACTGTAATCAAATGGCTGTATCCTACACTTCTTCGCAAACTATTATATTTGATTTACATACTGCAAAGCCAATTCTGCGCCTTAATTGCGCTCAAAGCTATGGTAAGATGATTTCCCAATTATATACTCTTATCCAAATTATTTTAGAAATATTTTCTTAATTGTATCTCTAAAACGTGTAAACTAATCACAACTTCTTGTTATCACAGATGGCACTTTAAAATCTCAGATAAATAAAATTACCTCCCACCCAACCTTACCTTTACTTATCACTGGCCATGAAGATCGATTCATACGCTTCTTTGATACAAACAGTTGTAAGCTTTTCTGAACTATAATATTTATCCTATGTTGATCTGTATTGAGTTCTATTTATTGCCATTTGCTAGCTCAATTGGTTCATTCTATAACTGCGCATATGGATGCTGTAACAAGTTTAGCGATTGATCCTAATGGATTGTATTTGATTTCAGGAAGTATGTTGGTAGACATCAAATGTGCTAGATTGCATTATTTAGTAGTAATTGACGATTTGATATCATTGCCATTGTGTCACACTAGGTCATGACTGTTCGATACGCCTGTGGAATATAGAGAGGAAAAGTTGCATTCAAGAAATGACTGCACATCGTCGAAAATTTGACGAATCTGTGCATGATGTCGCGTTTCATCCATCCAAACCCTTCGTCGCTAGCTCTGGCGCTGACTCTGTCGTAAAAGTCTATGTTTAATAATGATTCGAAATTACTGTATATACCGTATTCAAACTAAATTTCTATAACTTTGTATGTTTTGACTTTGCAATAATATTATATATATAACTAATAACTCCATGTTATCGGAGCTTTGCAATTTAAACACAACCGGAATAATAAGCGGACTAGATTATAAAAATTTTTATGTATGATAATGTACTAGATTGTACAGTTGCCACTCGACAGATTGTTGTCTTGAGATTGTAAGTCCATATTTTATGAAATGTTGTTGCTGTCGTCATTTTTAATACGGTTATCCAAATTGTTTATGTCAAATTTTTGCACGTTTAGAAAGTATTGGAACCTTTTCTTTTCCAAGATGTACAAATTACTTTTTTGTTTAATGTGCTCTACGCTAAAATTTATCATGATATTACCAACGTGGTTAACATTTCAGTATTAACATTGGAATGAGCTGGAAATGTTGGCTGCGTCGTCAAAAGAAGAAGAGAAAATGGTTAGGGAAAGATTTTTTAATTGTCATTATGAAATTACAACTACGCCTTATTGCTCCTAAATTACGAATCGATTGTCACAGTGCATTTATGATAATAAATTTTTGACGCGTTTATTTCGTATACTCTTCCATGAAAATCCTAGGAATTGTATTAAGCATGTATAATAATACAGTTTCCTCTATAGCTGCACATGTTCCTGTATAATTTTAGCAATGTAATAGCTATGGAGAAGGCTTTTTACCTTGCAATCAAGTTATGTCATTGTGTCATAATTATGATAATTTACTGGTATAATAGAATTCAATTTTCTTTTTTGATTTGTTGCTTACCACTGTGAATTGGCTGATTTAATTTACTTTTTAAGATTGCTGAAAATGGTTGTAGCCCGCTATTGCAGCTCTACTTGTGGCTATATACCTGTACGTACGTGGAATATTGTTGAATAGATGAATCACAAAAGTATAAGGAGATTGTTGAATGAATAAATGCAAACTATACGTTCTCAAATGGAAGGATTAATCATTGGAGCGATTGTTCTTGGTGTCTCGTTATGCATTGCCAGTACTAATTCAGTAAAGATTGCATTTTAATTTAGTTATTAGCCTTCGATGCTATCATTATTTTAAATCGCACTATTGTCGCAGTCAACTGTACGTTTACAGCATTTCAAATAGAATTAGACTGTACATAGCAATCAATTAATGAGCTAGGATTTCGTTAAAGTATTATAATTTCATTTTTTCATGACGGATTTTTAATATCAATGCAACCTAGCTCAAACGCGTACTGTAGGAGCTAGCTAAGAGCATGGGCTAATAGCCAAAGATACCTGATTATTGCATATGTTGCAGAATTGACAGTAAAGTCAATGCTCCTACGCCACCGCAGTCAATTGTACGTTTACAACGTTTCAAATAGAATTAGGCTGTATACAGCAATCAGTTAATGTGCTAGGATTCGTTAATCCATTATGCTGTAATTCCATTTTTTCATGACGGATTTTTAATATCAATGCAACCTTGCTCATACACGTACTGTAGGAGCTAGCTAAGAGCATCGGCTAACAGCCAAAGATACCTGATTATCGCATATACGAGCAATCAGTTAATGTGCTAGGATTTCGTTAAAGCATTATAATTCCATTTTTCACGACGGATTTTTAATATCAATGCAACCTAGCTCATACGCGTACTGTAGGAGCTAGCTAAGAGCATGGGCTAATAGCTAAAGATACCTGATTATTGCATAAATATATTACCGAATTAACTGTAAACTGTAAAGTCAATATTGACCCCTAAGGCAATAAGGTTTTTCGTGCAAACTAGAACAATCACCCTCTTAGTATGCCATACGGTGATGATCTAGCATCTATGCATCCGATGGTGTTATTTATGCCACTTCTATTCATTCTCACCTAATCCAAGCCAAAAATCGAGCAGAGCTCTGCAGGAACTCTGCACAGCTAACCTTCTTACAAGAGATTGCACATTCTACATGATTAGACATACAAATTAGAGTAATTTTCTACACAAGCAATTTCAAAGCCTATTTGCTATTTCAACTCTCTTTTAAAGCGTTAATTGGTTGATTTAAGTACAATTTTCTCGATTATAACCATGTTGAAGAGAGAGGGGAAGCATTTATGATGAAGAGAAATGTCAGCAATACGTCATAGTGTAATATATAGGGTATCATAAACATTACTACTGACTCAGTACTAATCTTGAATTTGTGCTGATTCACATTGAAATCTTATACTCTTTGACTATAGCAACTGGATCAGTTGTATTCGACCATACAAATTGCTGTTACTTTGAGTCATTCCCTTTTTCTGCAGTCAAGCAGTTCTTGTTGTCATTACGACGGTGAAGTCAAAATGTCTCCAGCTTGCTTAGCTATATAGTCGATGAATAATGAAATTGCGAGGTAAGAAAAAGGAAATAGGCTGTTATCCACCATGAACAGTAATCTACAGTTAGTTACAGTATAATGGTAGTGTTCTATTTATAGAAACTCTTCATACTTTTCATTCTTTGCCAATTATAAATCAATAATAATGTCTACTACAGCTTGTCCGTTCTTATCCACTATGGACACCAAGCTACCCCACTCTTGATTTTAGTACTATAGTATTTACTACTTTATAGAGAGAAGCTTTTAATACTTCCTATCGTTGGCCAACTTTAAATCAATTTCTAAATATAAAAGTTAAGCCACAGTATATATCAGCCAAATAATCGTCTTTCTGTTGACAAGAGAGAGTTGCTGATGACAACTGCTCTGCAATCCTTTGGAAGTATTATAGTTATTAAAGATACGCTATACACGTACCTATTAGCATTAATAGCAGACAAGAAACAGCATTTCTACTGTAATTTAGACTTGACTTTGTGCTTAAATTATGTCTGGTTGATGACTATGACACCTTTACGTGCTTTTTATGATAATTGTAGATGAAACCCTGAATTGAGTATAGATCTGAAATACTGATTACAAACTATCAAGGAGATGATGGAGGTAGGTTAACTTCTCGAAGCTTAACTCAAGCATTTATACCGCTCTATTCTGTTACAATCTTCAATTATAAATATAGCAATATGCTCAACATGCTAACAGGAATGTAGATATCCTTATCAAAAAGAAAGTTATTTGTAATATGCAATTTAAATATCAACCCCTACAGTACAGTACAGTAACAATCGATAAACATGTCGATAAAGTTATGTTTAATGATTGTAGAGTAGCACATAGCAAGAGTTGATCAGTTCTGCTCTCTGTAGCAAAATGTTTTCCCACTCTCCTAGACTACTTTCGTTGTGAATTTTCTACAAAACTCCTCAGAGCCTGATGCACGAGCATGTCGATTAGACGGTGCCAGTCATCATCATCAGACAGTTATTGTTTACAAGTAGATCTATTGATCTTAATTACTTTATTAGTATACATCAAATTGAGATATCAATAGCAATAATGATATCTTTCCGTGTACATTCTAAAAAGGCAGTAATTTTACGGTTACATAGGAGCTATCCCATAAACTCCATCCGAAACATGGACAAGCTATCGACAAGGAATCCAAACAGCAAGATCAACAATATGCTAATTATCACACTAGATATCGTCCTCCGTTTCTGCATAACATACCTCCTCCATCTTTTACAATACTAAGGCCTCCTACTCTCCACGGTAAAATGTTGTACTGTATACTTGAAATGTTACATGGTATTAAATGTGCGATCTAATATTACATGAAACATCATTAGCAAAGGTTGTTTGTATTACAGAAGAAAAATAAAGTTGTATGTTATCATTTACTGATACTAGAAAAGAGTGCTGCCATGCCTTCGAAAGTAGCAATGCCAAGTTTGCAAACTCCGCATCTTTTGAATACCTCTACTGGAGGATTTAATCAACAGTCTCAGCGTAGACTTGCTCAAAGTGGTGATTATAGTAAGAATACCCGCGGTAAGTTTATCAATAATCATTTGATTACAATGCACAAAATTATCGCCTCCATGTATATTAAATACTGGTAGTCAAGTAATTTTGAAAAATAAACGCTTTGTAATTAAGGATAGTTCCAATCGACACATAATTTCTTGCAATAAGTCATAGAATCATAATATAAATATGAGGTATCCCTCTACTAATTTCATTGTTATTCATTTTTCAATGCTATGATGATAGAATATGCATCATCTAGTTCACTAGAACAGCTATGCCGAAAAATGGGCGCGTACTTTGATTGCTCAACTCAAAAGCTGGAAATTCCCCCTGATAAAAAGCCTCTATGTAATAAAACTCAATTTAAAAGGATGAGACGTTACTATTGGGGAATAACCCAACAAATACAACGCATCATGTCCCTGCAACCTAGTGTATATAAAGTAAATATCAACATTTCCAAAGTAAATCTTTACCGGCTACGACCCTATATCTATATTAACCTTAAAAAATGCTTCTATTCAGTACCGTATCCAATCAATGTACCCCCAATGATAGTTTGTATTACAGAAACCGTTATTGGTCTTATTAAGCATAAGAACTACATGGGTAAACAAGTTGAAGATTATCTGCTGCAGTGCTGTGCCAGTCCATTAGCTTGTCGCAAATACTTGGTGCAAATTTGGGAGATGTTACTGGAATCGTCATTTAGCGATCATGGTGTGGCCGATAATATTACCCAATTAGAATTAAAGGTACAACATAAAGATAACAGTGTTTTAGATTACGCCATGGCATGCTGTGCTGCCATGAAATATATTGACAATTATGTTCTGGAGAACTCGATTGAAACGAACGACATGCAGAAGGAGGGAAATATCCTTAAATGCAGCTTAGGCCAGCAAGAATACAAACTTGATGACATAAACATTCACTTGGAATCATCATCTCGACGTCTCTTGAAGGGATCTGACGATAATTCCAAAGAGCCAAATGTAGGCTCGACAAGTGAAGCAACTGCAAATCAGACTACAGAAGTTATCCATAAAGATGGAGTAGATATACCCAATACGTCGTCTAACAGTAATATAAATAAAGACATTAGTCGTGTCAGTAACTTATCCGGAAAAATAGCAAAAAGGTCACGTCGAAGATCTACATTTGGCCGATGCTCAGCCACAGATAGAAGCAAGCTTTTCTTGCAGTTAACTGAAATGAAAAAGACCTTGATATGACATATTGCAACTAATGGTAATGCTGTATAATGCTTTATACTCCTTTTTTATATCTCTAGGACTGCGGTGATCGCCATTGCCTCCTGTGTTGTTGCTCGTAGGACAGACATCTTCATCCTATAGCAAAATTTTGTCGATTCTTTATACCGTATTAGAATATTGTTTTGATTACGATGATGGCAATAGCTACTCTGTTGTGGGTTATAAGGCAAACTTTATATATAATTTTATTAGTCTGCATCTGATTACCAATCCATCACTATCACTTTGTATTGTATGATATTGTAAATACTTGAATTACAGAAATTATAACCTGTTTTGACTTTTACAAGTTATTATTTATAAATCTTATTTGGCTTATTAAAAGGTTTAATGATTGATTAATCGATCCATCATGACAACGTCTGCTAGCACTAGCCTTCAATAACCTAAATGCCATAGTGAGATTCAAAAATTTCCAGTAGATATCCTTATACGTATCATTTGAAGTTAATACTTGAACTATTCAAATATTAATTAACTATAACAAAATAGATGTATTAGAACTGGATGATTAACTATATATAGCCTAGTGCATAAATATTGTTGTACTTCAATAGTGCAGATATGAAGGTGAGAATTGAGAAGAGATCGAAGGGGGGATGAAAATCAATATAATATCTACGCTGTAGAATAGACGTTAGAGTACTGTACTATGTGAGTAATAGGCTACCTGATTTACAATAGTTCCTATTAATTTGAACTTGGTCACTCACTAGCCATAGCAATGGATGTGTGCATAGGTATCTATTTAATGTGTTAGCTTAAGTCAGAGCATAGCACTGCAGTAAATAGATACAACTTTATATTTTATTGGCTATCAATAAATCAGGATTGAATAGTGCACAAGAGAAAGCAAACGCAGAAATATCAGCTAGCGCAGTCAATATTGATTACTAGAATCTAATAAAAGTAGCTACAAAATAAATCTTCTGTCGTACCATCAGTAGCTAGGGTTACGGCTTGTTATAATTAATAGAACGGCTATAGAATATTATAGAATATTAGAATAGTGACTAATAAATTTAAATCATTCTAACCAATAATTCTCAATCGAATAGAAAATATTCACTTACGAGTATACATTCAAAATCATCTTGACCTAAAAGTTAGTTACTATAACGGTATAATTATGGAATGGAACTGTTATTACCAAACTTTAAAGTATCCTCACGAAAAAATGACAGATCGAAGACCATTATAAGTTTTTAGTTGTCATCGAGGACAATAGTTTCATGACCAGAAAACAATCCCTCCACCTTGGATAGAGTTGGAGTCTGGCAAATTTCTTTGGTGTCCGATCCACTACTTTCATCACTTTGCTCGCGAGATTTTGCTCTAACTAACTCTTCCTCTTTGCTTGTCCTTGTATCCTCTTGCTGGAATTTGGACGAAGGTATTTCTTTCTGTTGCAGATCAGGATCGATAATTTCTATCCTTCCTGGCATCCTGGTTGGTAATAATATGACCTTGCCTATAAATCTTTGCGAATGGATTCGCTCCATAGCAATGTTAAATTCTTCTAGCGGATACATTGCATCAATCCTTGGTCGAACTACTCCTTCACTATATAATTTCAAGATATCATGCATGGCAGTCCGAACCCAATTGATACCGCTAGCATCCTGAACTAAATGCGTCAAGACAACACCACCAATCATTTTACAGTCCGCAATTAAAGTACTTAAATCTTGATGGAAAGTATTCCACCATTGCCTTGCAGCACCAAACCAAGTACGACTTTCTGCTGATCGTAAATTAGCACCGCCATACATAATATGTTTACCTAATCGTTTGGTTAAGAAATAATTCTTACGATTATCGACACCTCTGTACGGATCCAAGACAATATCCACTCCATTAGGAGCAAATTGTCTAATGTCAGTAACATAATCTCTGGATTTGCTATCAACAAGATAGTCATAGCCATGTTTTCGAGTGATAGATTGCCAAGAATGAGGGCAAGTTCCATATAATGTGACATGGGGTACAGTCTTGCATAACTGTCCAACGGCTAAACCAACATCATCGAATGCTTGATGACAGAGAATACTTTTACCTTCTTTCAGACCTCCATATTCAAATAATAAAAAATAGGCTGTCAGGTAGCTAATAGGTATAGCAGCAGCTTCTTCAAAAGTCATCCCATTAGGCATAGAAAAAACCCATCCTAAAGCTACTGAGACATATTCGCTCCAGCCACCAGACCAAGCTATGCCAATAACGCGATCACCCACTTCAAAGCTAGAAACACCTTGGCCGCATTCATCAATCGTGCCAGCTACCTCCATGCCTAAAACGCATGGTGGTCGTATCGTCATGGATAGATTTAACCCTTGTCTGGCCAATATATCATGATTATTGATGCTGCATGCTTCTACCTTGATTAGGACATGGCCATTTTTGACATTGGATAATTCTTTCCTTTGTAGTTTGATTTTATTAATACCACCATAGCCGGTTAAAACTAATCTCTTATTCGTTCTCTTGCTTGGAAAAGCTTCTGCCATTTCTGCAATATCTGTTGAATGCTGTCTTGGTTCATTGAATGCGAAAAAATCAGAAATTTCATATCGAGATAAATTTGCAAATTAAAGTTGGTTCTAATCTACATTAAGAAACGAAATACTAGACTTACAATAGAATGAAGAGGATACTAGGAGGGCGGTATTGGATAATTCAATTGAGATGAAATATCGTCTAGTTGCTACCTTAGTTAATTCTACGAAAGAAAAGGAAAATTAATTACAAGCTGTAGTTGTTATTTCAAGTTGGTTGTACAATATATGAAAATACTAGAAAGATGAATGAAAATGCTACCATAAGGGCATTATTGAATCATTACTGCGTAATAAATGGGGGGAGGGGGAAATAGCGCCCAGTTACTATTATGGCAATTTTTAGTGACAGAAAATAAGAATTAATTTCAAGGTTGTTATTTAAAGCTCATTCATGCACTCTATTAGAAAAATAAAATACCTAAAAGAGGAATGAAGAGGATACCAGAATGAGCGTATTGGATGCGCAAAGATGTTAAAGTACATGAAATCGGAATGGAGACAAAAGATCGGCCAGTTTCTACCCTGGCTACTTTAATGGCAAGAAAAAGAGAGTTAATTTCAAGATTGATTCCTTATTGAAAGTTCACTCTAGTACTCTACTAAGAAAAAGAATACCTAATATGCGTAGAGGAATGCAGTGGATAGCAGAATGATGGTATTGGATCGATGGTGTGTTAAGACTGGGCTATTTGATAGCTTAATTTAGACAAATCTATTCAATTTATTCTTAGATTTTAGTCTGCAATGGTAGCAGAGCGCTGTTACTACTGGTATGTTATGATCAATATATGCGCTGAAGAATAGAGTAAAGAAATAATATTGGATAAAGTGATTGATGATTTCATACATAAAAAGGATTGATATAACACCTTGTGCTTTTATAATAAACATCTATCCTGTGGGATTATCATGGAGGGAATCTTATTAATTGGTGAGATATCCAATCATTAGCGAATAGTGTTGACGATATCTAGGCGTAAATGCCATCCAAATCGTTACTATTGCTTGTCCTTTAGTCAAGATTGGTTTCTTCTTTTACTATATTCTCATTCTCCTAGCCTAGGTGAAAAGTAATGGTGTCAAAAATAATGTGCAGCCTATTGGTCATTTCTTCTCATGGATGTGAATGTCTATAAGTAATAGTCATGTAGTATTTGATGCTCGAGCTTATCAATATGGAAGTGGTTTTCTTAGCCATTTCTCGCTAATTGTTATTATTTGACAATACCATCACTGGCTATCGGCCGCTTTCTGCTCTACCGATATTCCTTGTAGTCAAGAATTTTTCCTGTGCAACGTTAATGAGGAAATTTTATTTGTCTTTTCCTTGAAAATCACCCCAGACAATGTCATACCTTACGTGCTATGCAGAACATGATCCAAAACGGTGTTTAGTTTGAATTAGTTTGAATTAGTCTAGCTTAAAGCAAATAGAATTAGTGGTCATGAGCTACAAGCCTATAACATTGTCATTGCGCACTGTTGTAGCTGTTAATTAATTGCCTTTCCTTAGATGAGATAGCATTAAGCCCATAAAAGTATGAGCAAAACATGACGAGCGATATTCATGAATGAGAGTTGAATAACACTTTTCGTTAATGCATTTGCTCCTCTGATGCTGTCAAGACGAGCAAAGGATTATCTCATACGTATGGAATCATGCCCTAATTTATTCTAATGCTGAGTATTTTGAACAGGAATATAAGTCGTTTACTTGAAATTCTAGCGGTAGCGATCCTAACCAGCTCTGACACAGAGTATTTTGAACCAGGAGATTAAAATCATTCAACTTGAAATTTAAAAGTGGTAGCAATCACAATCTCCTCCGAAAAGGCGTACTTTGAGCAAAGAAATTCAAATCGTTAACTTCAAATCCATGCGGCACCAGTAAAAGTGTATTACGGAATATTCAATTAATCCATGATGCTATTCCTTGTCCTAAAAAAGTGCAGAAAATGCATCATGCAGCATTTCTTTATTTCCAGACTAGCATAACTAAATATAAAGCATCATATCATACTATGGAAGCCAAGGGTATTGAGCAAGAATTGCAGTGTTCTAATATCTATTTATCAATTCAATTAGTTATGAAGCATAAGAATGTCACCTCCATATGAGTTTTGTACTTGCCCTATACTGCATTAATGATATATGCTTGTAAAAGTACGTTATTTATTTGCAGCTGTGATCATTGAAGGCAATGATTACTACTGTGTAAGAGTTTTGTACCTCCTTAAGACGATATGGCGAGTAATTATAGATGTCCATAAACGTACACTATTTATTTTCTTGGACGATCAATGCAGGCCATGATAAAGCATGCTACTTCATAAGGGTTTTGCACTGTACTTCCAAAACTATATCAAATATATTAGCTATATATATATATATAATATATATATATATATATTACATATATGATATATATGTTATATATAGATTATATATATATATATGTCAATATATATATATATATAATGTTCGCTAATAATAATATGCATACGTATACATTATCTAGTAGTCCATGCATAATTTTTCTAGTAGTCCATAGACAACTTTTCTACTAGTCCATGGTCGACTGCATAATCCCAGCCATCATTGAACAGGTCGTCCATGGAAATTTTTCTAGTAGTCCATGGACAACTTTCTACTAGTCCATGGTTGACTCCATAATCCTAGCTATCATTGAACAAGTCGTCCATGGTCAGACCAAGGACAACTTTTCTAGTATCCCATGGACAACTTTCTACTAGTCCATGGTCGACTCCATAATCCTAGCTATCATTGAACAAGTCGTCCATGGTCAGACCAAGGACAATTTTTCTAGTAGCCCATGGACAACTTTTCTACTAGTCCATGGTCGACTCCATTATTCCAGCAGACCATGGAAATTTTTCGAGTAGTCCATGGTCGACTGCATAATCCCAGCTATCATTGAACAAGTCGTCCATGGTCAGACCAAGGACAATTTTTCTGGTAGGCCATAGACAATTTTTCCAGTAGTCCATGCATAATTTTTCTAGTAGTCCTTGGACAACTTTTCTACTAGTCCATGGCCATTAGTCTGCCATGTCTATCCCAGTCTCTATAACTTCTGTTCCACCTCCAGTGGCGATGTCTATCTGGGCCAGGCCAGGACTCATGTCAGTACTACAGTCAATAGAATGTATCATGTAGTAGTGCGCTACAAGGGTATAGTACTGTGTTGGATCAAAAAGACTACCGTAGCCATAGTGATGCAAAGCATTATAGACTCGTCGACTGGAAAGGCTTGCGATCAAACCATTGAATCGGGTAGTAGCGCTGACATTGGCGTTAATAAACAAGGATCCATCGTCATTTCTTCTCGCTCAAGCATTTCTCCATTAGGATCATGGCTCATCGTCAAGCAACCCACGCTGGCTCATGGTATAGTAGTTCAGGTGATGATGTATTGATATAGGATAGTCCACTAATTTGGCGTATTTTTCAATGCATTCGACACGGTAGCCACGCTTGGCTATTGTCACTTTCTTCTCCACCATTTTCCACTCTATCCCAGCTCATCGTGCCTATTGATCGTAAAAATTCTCTTCTACCATAAGGCAATTTCCCCTTCTACCTGTATGCCAGTCTTTGACTGTACATTATAGACTGAAAGACTTACTCTCATCCACAGCTTGCTAGTAGTTGTTGTTTTTTTCCTCTCATTTCTTGGCCGTTTGGCAATATTACGATAATCAACGAAGTCATACTGTATGTAGACAGTTTTGAATGAATAACTTGGACTACCATTTCACTGTTGAAATGATCCAAAAATCCTCATTCAACTTTTTGGTCTCTTGTTAATGGAATCTAGATGATGTAGACAGCAAGTAAAGCCTTTGAAATGAGCCACAGTGTAGATATCTACATGTAAGAGATTGATGAAGTTTTCATCGTTAAAGTAAACATTCCATTCCCTTTCTCTCTACTCCGTGGATGGGCTTTGTATTGGATCAAGTAACTTTCTTGCCCAAACAAAAGGAATCAATCCTCTATAGAACATGATACTCCAACAAAAAATAAGAGCCAGTCTAATAGCAGTAGAAGACTTCTGTTCTAAACTACCAAGAGTGATCTGTACTCTGAGAAGCCCCTTGTGCTATCCAGTCAACTGGGAACATTGACTTTGAGCATACTTGATTCCAACAAGATAGCGCTTATCCGGTCGAATAGGGTACGATACTGGTACAAATAGTACGAATAAAAGTTCAATGTTATGATGGAGATTGTAAATAGGATAGCACGCCATCAAGGTTAAAAAATCGTAAGACTGCTCGTTATGGCAGTAGTAAAAAGTAGTAATATCAATCAGCCACTTTAGGTTATGTAGGTACCCTTGCCAAGATGGGAAGGATCCTCAAAACTGACATAACTTGAGCCAATAACATAACGTTAGCCTAGCGTCATCATCATGGTTGATTTCGATAATTGCATACTGTACTGTATTAGAAAATCGATACTGTAAATGAAGATCTTGATAGTGTGGTACCATAGCTTGGCACATTAATTATGGCTATCTGTTTCCTGCTGTAGGATACTTTTACCAGTAAAACTACACATAGAGATAGACATGAGTGATGTATGAGCTTAGTATAGACCAGGGTACAAAAGAACTCAAATGAAACTTTTGAAAGGTTAATAGTTTCCCGATGAACCAGGACATGCTACATAAACCATAAGGCGATAGGTTTTTCCCAAATCATATTTGGCTTCACCGAAAACATGATCCATCTACACTTTAAAGGTACATTACCGTAGGAAATAGTTTAAAATAATAATCAGGCTTCTTATAAAGAATTCGAGAATGTGACTGTATGATATTCTCTGCAGTAGAGAACCATTCTTAAATGTTAGTTATAGGAACAGTGAATGTAGTAGTAAATATTATTATTTACCCTAGATCGATCATCCGTTTTAAGCCATTCCCTATACTAGATCAACTGATAGAAATGCGATCACGAACCTACGTACTATCATGAACTACCACTGTACCTTGATAGTATTTATAGCTAAAGTAGCATTGTCTCACTAATATTCTATTTTTTATCTAACGGCTCATCCAATTTTCCCACATAGGCACTGAATTATCAAAACAACTAGGTGGTTGGTTATCCAAAGTTGCAAATGGCAATACACCTGCTAAAGCGATCATTGCGCCGTAAGCAAATTAATAGTTGTTACTTTAAGGCTAGCAACGATATCATAGCGAAATAGTTATCGACTCAGGTCTAGTAATATGGATCGGAACAACGGTCAAGGTTATTGATCGTACATAATCTTAAATGGATCATAACGATACCAATCAATACCAAATGATATATAATCGTTAAATGTAGTTATACAACTTGTAGTTCATACGAATTGGTCTTGTGTTCGTTATACTAGCAGCTAGCTGATAGGAAAGTACTGAATGCAATCATTTTTACTTCCTTGATAGTATAAATAGAAGTAGAAGAAGAGTTGGTCATTCATAACATGTTTGTTTATTACATACACTTGATCAATTGCAATGTGATAATCACTTTATTGCATGTGCTGTATTTTAGGCATGCTGGCTATGCTTATTGTGGAGCTTGTGCAGCTTACGCTTATAAACAGATTGACCCAAGAGGAATGTAAGTTTGATGAAATAGCACTTTTACAATTTTAAGAGATTGCCCCTATGACTACCATAATTCCAGTTTAGTCAACATGTGCAAGTCATCTATGAATTCTTAATAATAATGATAGTCCGAGTATTTTAGAAAAGTTAGCTAATATTGAGTAGGCAACTCCAAAGGTTAACAGTTCCGTTTGTAATGTTTGGTTACTCAAAGGCTGAAATGGCGACAGAATGATAGCATAAATCGTACTAAAAGTTTACGTCTATTTTCTTCTTTAAAATTGACAGCAAAAGAATATTCATATTAGGACCTTCACATCATTATTATCTGACCAAATGTGCAATAAGTATGACGAGTCAATGTAATACTCCTCTTTATCCACTGCAAGTCGATACCGAAAGTAAGCTTTGCTAGTCATTATTTCAATCGAGGCATAGACTGATTTTTCCCGTTTTATATAACAGTTAATAATCAGCTGTTAAAAACTGGAAAATTTGATAAAATGTCCAAAAGTGTTGACGAAGACGAGCATAGTATTGAGATGCACCTTCCATATATTGCTCAAGTCATGTCCAGGTTAGTTGGTCAAGATTAATAAAGATTTCATTAAAATAAACAATTGAACCTAATGCAAAACTGATGCCCAAGATATTGCATTTCAATTCATAGTCGATTTAAAATCAACTTCAATAATAAACTATTTGACATTTATTATTTTCTATCAGTTAGTAGTGCATAAACATTGACTTTATCCTTGTATCCATAAAGCCGTATTATCTTATGGCAGCTACAATTATCTACAATCCACTGTTGACCTACTACAATTTATCTTAACTGTGATTAAAACCATAAAAATTGTTTCTTGCGCTAGCCGCTCTCCGGATTCCTTTACAATTGTACCGATTCTAGTTGGTGCGCTTGGATATAGGGAAGAGCTGATGTACGGAGAAATTTTCAGTCAATACCTTGTTGATCCTGAGAATTTATTTGTCATCTCGTCGGACTTTTGTCACTGGGGTAAGTTTTACTTTCTGTTTTCAATGGAACAGTATGCTACTATGCCAAACCTGATTATATAGCGTTCACTTCTCCTTTATGGACGTATAGAATTAATTTAAGTAGGATTACGCAGACTTAATTTCGCAGACATCACTAGAGGGTTGTATTCAACAACCTAGCAGAGTTTTAATGTCGGGCGCAATTTTTTCAATATGTACAATAAATAAAATTAGAAGAATACTAATTGTATTATGACCTACTGCAATATTCTAGGTAAAAGATTTAGGTTTACGTACTATGAAAAATCTCACAAGCATATATTTTCATCCATTGAAGCCTTAGACAGAAAGGTACTTTTCAAAGAAGAGTAGAACACAGTTAAGATTAAATGCACGAAAATATACGTGTATAAGTACAATATAATACTGTAGTTTGAAAGTTTCCTACTTGCATTATTGGTATCGCTGATGTGAGTGTTATATACTGTAATTCGAAATCCAGCAATCACTAGATGTAGTCGGGTAGATTAAAGTTGGATAGGATTGAGCAACATGGCTGTCTTATCTAAAATTTAAATTTTATACTACAGGGAATGGACCTGATTGAACAACTGGATCCTGCTGGATTTCGTGAATACTTAGACAAGTATCAGAATACAATTTGTGGCCGGCACCCTATTGGTGTTCTGTTGCAAGTACGTATGATCATTCTGTAGCTACAGTAAACTAAGGCGATAGGGTAGCTGGCGCATTTATGAATGGATGCAGCCGTACTAGTCTTAATATTAATCATTTTCCTTTCTTTTTTTAGGCAATTGATGCCGTTAGGAAAAAGCAAAGGTCCAACATGAAAATGAGATTTTTAAATTATGCTCAATCGAGCCAATGTTTAAGTGCAAACGACAGCTCCGTTAGCTATGCTGCAGGAGTCTTTAATTTATCTACTTCGTAACTTGTTGGTAACAAAGGCTATCAACGATAGGACATGCTTAAGTACATTGTAGTTTCTTATCAAGGATCTCCAATGATTTCTTAATTCGTTTCTCTAATATGATTGTCATTTGGCAGTTATGCTGCTGATGCAATTGTAACATCTTGACGATTTGAATCGTATGTTGACTCAAAGTAAAATGACTCAGTTAGACTCTGACTAATAACACTAACAAAATACTACTCATGTGTAACTGTAGTTCATCGATTCCATGTTCAATTAGCCCATGACATTGAAGTGTGTATTATATCCTTGGATATTATATAAAAGGAATTATTTCTAAAGCGAGCCTTGAATTCTATAACTCAATGCTGTTGTAGCAATTGATAAGTAATGAGTCTAAAGTAGGAATCGTGCAAGTATATATATATATATGAATGACACCATCTTCATGTCCTTTTTATTAAGTACGTAGCTATTGACAGTTAGGCCCAATACAGAATGAGAAGTTAATATACGTATATCATACTACAGTACGTTAAGGTAAACATTGAAGTTTAATTAAAGAAGCTCGAATAGTGTAACTAACTAATGTTAATTTAGCAAAGTCATTGATTATATAATTAGGAATTAATAATTCACTTAAATGAGGCTAAAGCCATAGAAATTGATTTGACAGTTGAAAGTCATCATTTACAGCTACGCACTCAATTATCTAACTCAACTAAAACGGTGAAAAGGATAGAGTTATTGAGAAGATTTTCTCGAAATTACTACGGACTCTTTCAAACAGAAAAAAATATATAGACACAACACAGTCACTATCATAGTATCAATTTTTCACCAGTCATTATAAAAAAAAAATTGCAAATCATCACCAATACTGTTAGAACAGAACAGAACATGAAGTGCCTACATTCTTTAAAGCTTTACAGCACAAATATTCCAAAGACAGTAACAGCAGTTACAAACGAGTAATTCTGTTGCTGTCACTACGAACAAAGTAACATATTTAGAGGTACCGGTTAACGTTAAACTTTTTCCTTTCCTAAACATAGTTGTTAGGATAAAAAAAAGGCTAAGCTGAACTGCTAAATAGTAGATACACGTTTTACCGTAATATGTCAGCACCACGCTAATGATTATAGAAGTTGATCACTTAGAGACCTACTACTTTTACACTCAAGGAAAATGTTATCAAAAGCTACTGTAATCGTTCAGCAAGTACACTACGACCGCATCTAACGTAAATTGAATTTATTTAAATTGCAAACAGTAATTAAATGTGATTGGACTAAGATTGAAAATTGTTGCATTTCGTTACGTATTTGATAATTAGATTGACGAAAACCTCAACATTTCGAGTAATCTCACAAAAGATAGATGAAGCTGTCCATAGTCATAATAAATTTTAAGTCATAATTCTACGCCACTAACAAATTTTGCCTATTTACGTTGTATTAATGGAATAGATAATCTACTTTTACAATGGTGATAGTACTAATTAAACGATATTAGTATTTCAAAATGTTGCTACTACGATATAGTGTAGTACAATAAGTAATTTACTTGTAAGTCACCATCAATGAGCTGTTGTTGATCGTACTTAGAATATTCTATAGACCTTTCAATTTTGATAAGAAGTCTTAACAGCATCCTCCGCTCTTATTATCAGCTACAGGTTTCGACTGGATTTTCACGTTGCCGGTGGGAGCAGAGGCTGCTGAAGAAGGTCCCATTCTCTTTTTGATCTCGGCTGCCATGGTTAAAAATGCTTGCTCTACATTAGTAGCGTTTTTGGCGCTAGTTTCCAAAAATGGAATATCCAATGCATCAGCATACTCCTATTGTGGTAATGAATGAAATGGTTGTTTTTAGCTTCACCATTTTGTTTTTTCCATTGAACAATTTAATGTTACCGTATTGACTACAGTAGATCGGTTATAATTGGACATGGCAAAATAGAGACAATATTGCTGATTCGTTATTACATTGACCAAGTATAAATCAATATTCAACTGTACCTTGGCTGTTACATAGTCTATAACTTTCTTAGACGTCAAATCGCACTTGTTACCAACTAACAATTTGTTTACATTCTCACAAGCGTATCGATCGATTTCTTGTAACCATTGTTTTACATTATTAAAAGATACCTAATATGGGAATTGCAAATTAATCGTAAACACAACCATTAATTACTTGTCAAAGTCTAGTTAAGGAAATTACAGCACTATACAAGATTGCACGGTCAATCAGTTGACTTGAATACGATATAATCAACTGGTACTTAAAATATAATCAGGCATTCATTCTATGCCGTTAAATCAAGATAATGCATGTGTTTGGTAAGGATTCAATGATCATCATCGCAAAGCAACAAAGCACGCCGTAGATCATGTTTGAAATAAAAATTTTAAAATAATACATGCACGCGTATACTGCAGTAGTAGTCCTTGCTTTGATACTGTAATACTCTATGATGCCATAATGAAATTGGAAAGTAACAAGTACTGTACGCTATTAAACATGTTAGGAATAAAAATTTGAAACGATCAGACTAAAAAGACCGATACAGTATTCTCAACGAGAGAGCATACTATTTATATCTAATACAATAAACGCAAAAACTACATTAACCGGTGTTGTTGTGCGACCGCACCGAGGCTACATTAACATACAATCTCGAATTCAGATCAGATTAAAAAGAGTGATACAGTAATCTCAAAGAAAGAGCATACTATTTGTATTTAATGCCGAGGGCTACATTAATAAAGCACAATCTGGAATTTATTTTGAGCTCTTTCATTATTCATCCAGCGACCCAGTTGTGCTCTACTGTAATGCTTACTAACAATCAAGCGTTTATCGCAAGTGTACTATAAATTTACACCGTAAGTAATGCAGATAGCCACATCAATAGACAATTTTTTACCTGATCTGTTACATCGTAAACGACAATTATACCATGAGCTCCACGGTAGTAACTTGATGTAATGGTACGGAAACGCTCTTGTCCGGCGGTATCCCACTAAAATACATCATTGAAGTACAACATTACTGAAAAAATTTCTTCAAGGTATGACAGATGACGGCGTAGGTACATGCGCCATATGTGTAAGTTGACTCTATCAATCAGCCCACATTCATGCTATAATACACGTACATATATTCTAAAGTTGTACGATAAAGACTAAGCATTGGCCTACTGAAAAATAATATCGATAGAGACTCGTTTAGCCCTTGCAAACCCAACAACAAGTTTGTTAGGTACTAGTAGTAGTAGGTAGCGCACCTACTGTACCCTACCAGGAAGTCCAGATTGGGATAAAAATTGCTTTAAATAGTCAACTCAGTGTTCTTACTGCTCATACAGTACGGAACAAAAATGATGGTGGTTCACGAGTCTTAAATAATTGATAAATTATAATCCGTTGCCGAAATTATATTCAATGCTGGATGTCACCAATTAATGCTACTGTAATGTTACACAGAGTATCGTTAACAGGCAAAAAAAATGATACACTACAGTCATACAGTATCAACTGAAGCAAATCTCAACTATATCAGTTATCGCCCAAATAAAGTACATTAGTACAAAAAAAACTGTAAGATATTCTTTGTACAGTAAAAGCATGTTAATAAAATGATCCAGCTACGTGAAAGGATTACAAATAGGTATCACCGATAACAATTCCCTAATAAACGAAAGCATTCAAAAGGGGAAATTAAAAAAGATTATATTCATCACTTACAATTTGAAGCTTGATAGTTTTACCATCTAATTCAATGGTACGAATTTTCTATTGAGATAAATTACAGAAATAAGAAGCCGTTTTACCACAGTTCAATCATGACAAGGTAAAGCGCATTTAGATTCGAATACACTTTAAAACATGCAATACTCTCGATACTTACAAAATCCACACCAATAGTACTAATGTAGCTCTCCGTATAGGTATCGTCCTAGAAGATGAAATAGATAGAATTGATGGTTAATTCTTACAGTAGCGATACCGTGATGTAACATTCGAAATATTTGTCCTAGTCAAGGTTTTGCAATTCCACGTTAATTGATGTTGAACGTTAACTAACTGAAACGTAGGTGATACTAGTAGTCAATTTTTATTCCGCTTGTTGACCGACCACTTGGACATTTCTCGAGTTCGATGAATCGTGGATAGTGCAAGTCAACTACTAATGAACTAAATTTAAAATTTCATTTTTTCTCGGATATTCTAGTATAATAAACTACAACAATGTCTAACGTAAAGCTGTAAAACATGTATTTTGGAAGAAATCCATTGCTTTTTTCACGTGAATATTTTCTAAATAGCACTATTTTGATAAATATATTTGTTTAGATTTGACTATTCATAATTTTGGAGAGCCGTCGATTGGGAGTAAAAAACGATAGCAATTCTCTTTCTTTCTTACCGCAAATCGTAATAGTAAGCATGATTTACCAACACCGGAATCACCAATAAGTAGCAGCTTGAACAAGAAATCGCTAGAATATTCAAAGAAAAGACAACAACATTACACTAGTGAAGATACCGTCCCTTTCCCCTTATTGCTTATCGCCGTTCTGATTTGTTGATTCGTTTGCTTACGCAGTCAAGACAGCGCACTAATTCAACTTATGTATTGGAAATGAAAAGTTTGTAGTACTAACGACAATGTGGACATTGTCTAGTTTTTTTTCTGCTATCTTGATTGAAACTTGCGGTACAAAAATCCTTGAACAAACTAAAGCAATTGGTTGAAATGATAAAGAGTGGAGAACGGTCAATGGAGCGAAAGCGTCGCAATTGATGGTACGGTAGAAAAAATTGGAAGTGATTATTCAAAAGGTGTTTCATTTATCAACGCAACTTTTAAAACGGAAAAGGAACTGAATAGACTGAAATAGTTATCGTTCCTTTTCTAGAGAGAATGATTCATCCAAGAGACTAAGTTCGAGGCTAGTATGTAGAAAATGACGCAAACTAAAGTCATTGCATGAACGAAGAGGACAGAAGGCGTTTCAATTTTGATTGTTGGTTGACTAAAGAGTGCCGTCATGATTGGCATGTAGAAGGATTGAAAACCCCTTCTAACATCCTTGTAAAGTCATTTGCGATAGCATCGGCTTGAAGGAAAAGGATGCTAGTCGTACTGTCATGCGAGTAAAAATGTTGAAGAATGTAAGTGAATGTGTCATAGAAAAAAAAAAGGAGTTTTATCGTCCTTTAGGAAAGTCAATGTATCGAGCAAGACAAGGCATTTTGATGTGGATAGGCCGGCCACTCGTGGTCATAGTCCATCCTATTGACAGACTGAAAATAAAGTGAAACCTGATAGTGAACCTATAGGACAATGTCGATGGAAAAGGCGCAAGTGAATCAATCTTGCAAACGACTATCCATACTCTTGCATTTATGCTCTTGCCATGCCAACAAGATATCCAGCAAGTATAAGAGTATCCTTTGAGCAGAAGTGAAAGCTATTTGGGCACCATTGTCAATGTGGCATGGCGGCATTAGAATATCAGCATTACAGTGCAATTGTAGAATTTTCATAGACATTACACAAACAGATGTTTATCTTCTTCCACTTACTATTCAGGATTCATGGTGGTTTGGCGATAATTCTATGTAGTTACAGTAATTAAAATGGATATAAAGGTAGTTGGGTTGAAAGATTTTCCTTGAAAGTGGAAGTGTAACCTAAAAGAAAGAATCAAGAACCGTTAGTTGAAGGCATAACCTGGATCCATTTGCATTTTTCTGACTGCCTCCTGTCAAGGCTATTGTCAATGACTCCTTTACAGTCTACTCCAACACTGATTCAACACCTTTTTTCACTGGAACTTGGTGCCACTGAAAATTTCTCTTTTTTCTTCCTTCAGTACTCTCCAATCGCTGAATGGAGGAATACTGATAATCAAGAGTCTAAATGAAATAATCAATTGTATCTGACTAATTGGAAAGTACAAGTTGGACAAGGTGGAAACTTGACAGCGTTGTAAAAGTCCTCCTAGCAAGCAAAATCCCAATCCACTGGCAACGATTTTTTTTTCTCCAACGAGACGTACAGTAAGTATCTGCTGCTGCTGTGGATATGACGTACTGCCCAGTCACCAATCATGCACCGTCTGACAGTGCGCAAACCCTTGTATGCAAATGAAGACGTAGCAAGGCTTACAGTACATACTGTACAGTACGGTATGGCTGGGTGTCCTTTTTCCCCTCCCAGGTGCATGACTGCTTTTTATCCCATACGCCGCCATCAGACTGAAAGGGCACGATCGTACAGTACTGTAGACTGTAGAGTAGGCACGGCACCGGATGGCACCAATACCAAGTACTGTACAGTACGATGCTGTGTACAAATATGCAGTCTTGATCCATTACCGCGTGTGACCCTCGAAAAATCCTACAGTACTGTAATGTACAGTCTACAGTGCCACTGTAGACTGGTTTGGTACTGTCCTTGGTGACATGGAGCATGACGCAGCGACCACCCGTACTGTACAGTGTACAGTACGTCGCGTGCAGTACACAACGCTGTCGGATACAGTACTATGTACTGTACGTACGACAGTATAAAGCACCTTTTTGGACAGGCAAGAGAAAAGCTCCTTTCTCTCCACGGTACTACAGACTGACTGTCTCCAGGACTGGAAATGGGTATCAGTTGACAGTGTACTGTGTATGTGTACAATGGACATCCAATTCATCGTGCCCTACCGTACAGTATCAGCTCAAACTGGCAACGTGTCCTTGGTGAGACTGTACGGTAGAGGCAGAAATCTCAGTTTTACCGCTACTGTTGAGACGCCCGATCGTAAAATTGGGGTGTCATTTCTGACAGTACAGTAATGATTTTGCGAGCTTATACCTATCCAAGGTTGAAGGATTTCAACCCATGACTTGCCACTGCAGTGTTAAACACTGCTGCTCTACACTAGCGAAGTTGCTGCTTGCTCGCAGCTATGATGAAGGAATTTAAGCCCGCCGATAACGGAAGTCAGCAACAACTCGATAGTATGTCTGACCAATGTCCATCAGCTGAGAAAGAAGAAT